TCTGATGAGGCATACTTAAGGACTTAAAGACGTGTTAGCATTTTTTGATATATCTTAAGGGAAAGACGAACATAGTTGTAAGGGGAATCACAGTTTTTGCAATCTTAAGTTTCCGACCCAAATAATTTATAAACTTTCAATCTTAATCATGTAAACTTTGCAAGGTGCCACAACCTCTTTTTCCCAGATACAATGGCATTTGTTATGAAACGTATTAAAGGATGTTCACATACATGTATCTATGCAATTTTATCAAAAAGAAGAAAAGGACTATGTAAAAGTTTTCTTAAATGGAAATGTATTTTCGACCTGAATGATAAGAGTTGGGAAACATATTGTTCTATTGGATTTAATTGTACCATTGATGTGGGCTTACGATGGTTTCAGTTTAAAGTTTTGCAACGCATATTATATACGAACGATCTACTGTTTAAAATGCATTTAGTCCCAAGAAGAGAATGTACATTTTGTAATGAACAGATTGAAACAGTTATACATCTGCTATGTGATTGTACGCATGTTAAACATATTTGGGGTAGGGTAGAGCACTGGATTAATACTGGAACCGGAAATAAATTATCATTTTCATTACAAGATAAATTATTTGGTTTAAAAGGTTCAAATAATTATGCATTGAATTGTATACTGAGTGTGGTGCGACAGATGGTGTATACTTGCAAAATAAAGAAACAATTGCCCGACTTTGATAATATTGTAGAAATAATAAATTCACAAGAAAATGGTTTTAATTCAGGATTTTGTTTACTTAAAATGATATTTTTTCTGTAATTGTTTTTCTTTCCATGAGTGTCAGAAATGAATTATTGATTTGTTAGTCTTCTGTTAACTCAACAGTTCAACAATACTTGTATCTTGAAAAGCCAATTTTATTTATGTTATAAATGTAAATTACCTTGAATATATATTTGTTAATTTGTTTCAAATGAAAATCAATAAAATCCCTGTGAAGGGAAAAATATGGAGGAAAAAAAAGTAAACTTTGCGAGCAATCCGTGCCAGCAAGCTCATATTTTTAAATTGTTTTGTAGTTCATAATGCAATGTTCGTCATCAAAATGTACAGTAAGTGTGTTATATAGTTCCTCAAAATTACGTCTACAAAGAAAAATACCCCCTTGCCCGAAAAGCGGTTTAAAGTATAGTTTGCCCGATTATTTGTCGCTTCCCGGGATAGCTTCAAGGAGCTACTGAAATCGATTTTCACTTGAAGGTTTCAAGGTTCGAGCTGAGACATGGTCCAAGCTTTCAAAAGTTCAGTTCTTACAGTATTGAAAGTACTTCTAAAAATGTTCCACCTGTATATCTAAAAAAGTGATATTGATTAGTAGAGTTTTGTATCTCATAAATAAAATGGAGTTTTGTGTTATTTTTGGAAATCTTTGCGCTGTAAATAAAGCTTTGAAACATTCACTGCAAACACTTGTCTGGTTTTATAATGCTGTTAACTGAAGTTTTCATGAAATTACCTAAAATTCAAATAGAGATAATACATTGCAAATAAAAAATTTGGTACCGAGGAGAAATTGTTAGAATACACTTTGTGATACAGAGAAGAATAGTAGAAGGTTGGATGAAGTGAAATTACAAAGAGAGAAATAGAAAAGAGAGGGAAAAGAAAAGGACTTTGAAATCAAAGTAATACTTTCACATTATTTCAAGTTGTTTTCGAGACCATGCAGGCATATTAATATCATCTCACAGTGCTTTTGTTGAAGGCTTCGCTGAAGGAGGAAGAGTTTCGAGCTAAACCAAAGATTGATCACAGAGCAAATTGGTCTACGATACAAATTAATAAGAATCTTACTTTCATTTTCATTGTTTCGGTTCACTTTAAAGCTCGTTTGTTTTCAAAAGGGGTTGCGAGTTTGACAAATGAGGATGAATTAAACCGGTTTATTGTCGAGATTTAAAGAGGGTAATCTATTTATGATCATGACCGACTAGTTTCAGATACTGCATGTGCCTTCCAAACGTCCTTCTTCCTCTACTCTTTCTACCAGCAAAATACATTTATAGATGACTGCAGTAATATGCATACCATTGAACGAAAGACAGCATTTTCCTGTACTATGAAATTAGCAGTGGTATTGTTGGTCTTCTCGGCGTTCTCTTCAATCCCTCCGCCCCCCCCCCCCCCATGTACCACCGCCTTTTGCCCCTTCATTCTCCATTTATATCAGCCTCTCCGCCGTATAAATAATCTTTTATACAAATTATTTCGTATACAGCCCCCTTTTCTCTCTCTCTCTCTCTCTCTCTCGCTCTCTCTCTCTCTCTCTCTCTCTCTCTCTCCCTCACACATACGCACACACAACACACACACACACTGCCCTCTCCTCCCTTCCACCTTTTCTTTCTTTGGCCCTGAGGTACTGAGAAATTATGAAACGAGTGTCTGGTATTATACAGGGGGCTATGCTTTTCAAACAAATGTATAATAGGTTTTGGTGCATTATCATAACAGATTTTACTTATGAAATCTTACTAAAATGTTATTTAGAACAAAAATAAGGATCAAGTGATCATGTGGAAATATAGGGTCCTATAAAAAATAAAAAAAATTAAAAAATTAAAAATCGCGCTTTATTTTTTCTTTTTTTTTCAAGTTTTCATAAACTCGTAACCCCTGTATTTTCATATACTTCACATTAATAAAAATAACATTGCATCATGGATTCATAAAACAATTCTGTTTGGCGATGGTCGAATTCGCCTTATCATATATATATATATATATATATATATATATATTTATATATAATTTAAGCATAACTTTCCTTCTTATTTCGTTAATATATATGTATGTTCCAGCTTAATTTTTTTGTCTAAAATGACACCACGATCAATTCTATTGAATACTTTCACTTTATTTCAAGTCGTTTTTCAAAACCACACAGGTCTCTTAATTTCATGATCTCGAAATATGTGTACAAATATTTTCACATTGCTTCCTTTCGGTGAATAAAAGAAAATGGGGGAGGGAGAGGAGAGAGGGGAAATCGGAGAAAGAGGGGGGGGACACAACGCAACCTATACCCCATGTCACGTCATCTGCTGGGTCAGCCCCATAGACCATAGTCATAGGATAGGACCATTCTTCACATATCACTTATATCAAATTAATTCCTTTTTTAAGTTTCAAACGGCACAAGGGCTTTTGTTGAAGGTTTTACTGAAGGAGGAAGAGTTTCGAGTAAAAACCTAAAGAGTTATCACGAAGCAAATTGGTCTACGATAAATGAGAAGTTTACTTTCATTTTCTATTTTCATTGTTTTGATTCAATTTAAAGCTCGTTTGTTTTCAAGAGTAGTTGCGACTATGAAAAATTACAATGAGTAAAACCGGATTGATTTCAAGGTTAAATTTGAAGTGTCTAATTACTTCGTTGACAGTAATCTATATATTAAATATCTGGCCAGAATAATTTCAGATAATGCGTATGGCTTTCAGCCGTTTTGTTTCCTTTACTCTTTCTATCCACAAAATACGTTTATAGATTACTGTAATATATGCATATACCATCGAATGAAAAATTGTCTTTTCCTGCAAACCCGGACGTTGGGGTCCGGATAGTTGATTTAACACAGCATTTTGAAGAAGTTTACAAGCAATATATCATAAATCTTCTGTGACTTATGTTGGAAAATATTATAAAGGACAGATATTCATGATGGTTAATGCTATTTCATGAATATTTTTTGTTAAAAGTAAAAGCAAAAGTGTTTGTTATTTTTGTTCAGTGTCCCCTCCGCCCCCCCCCCCCCCAAAAAAAAGAAGAAGAATATACTGTGAAATTAGCAGTGATATTATTAAAACACCGCCTTTTCTTTCTTCACTATCCATTTATATCAGCCTCTCCTCAGTACCAATTATCTGTTATACATAATTTCACACCGTAGAGAATGATTGAAAGTAGTGCTGTTACAAAGACGAGTTTGAACAAAACCCATACAGCCCCTCAACCCCCCCCCCCCCCCCTCCCTCTCTCTCTCTCTCTCTCTCGCTCTCTATCTCTTGGTCTGCCTCCTTTCCCCTGTTTTCTCACGCTCTCTTTGACTCCCCGTGTTTCTTGTGTCACCACCTTTTTTTATTCATGTCTCCATTTATCTCTCTCTTTCTCTCTCCCTCCCTCTCTTCGTTTCGCATGTACTTTCACTGCTTTCCTCAGCTAATTTCAAGTCTTCTCCAGTTGCACGACAGTTTACTGCCTATATACTGTGATTGGCAGATTAAAGAATCGAGAGCGTGGATTCAAGGAGAAACCTTTATCATGCATATCCTTCATGCGTTCTTGCAGTTTTAAGTGCAAATGACCCTCAAGATATTCATTGTCCTGTACCCTCTATTATTTTACAAATGCAGTGAAACCTCGTTATACCAAACTCATTGGTACCAAGGGCATGAAGGCTCGTTATAAGGTCGTTTTTTAATCACGAGTATAAGTGTACATACATGCCAACATTTGAAAATCAGAAATCTGTACAAATTATGCTATTTTCAAAAAAAAGAGGAACAATCCTAACTCTCCTATTCAATACTACAGACAAATTTGTACAGGAAGAGGAACACCTGCATTAAAATGATAATTATCTTCTCCCAAAAAGAGGAATGTTCCTCTTTAATCTGAACAGTTGGCATGTATGAGTGTAATATGCTTCACATCTCTAAGACACACAGGGCTCAAGTTAATATACTCAAATACTGTTATATCAGGGCAAGTACAGAGTAGTTGGACAGGGCACAACCGCCTGGCTATTAAGACAAGAGTTTGTTACGGGTGTTCCTTATTATAAGATCAAAATGTACGATGTATAGGAGGAATACATGTATGTGAGGTTAGCCTTCATTCGCTCCAGCCTCACTTTCATAACGAGTTAACATTCATGTCCATCACTACACTCTATGGTTTCTTCAGAACCCTAGTTTGAAACTACTGCTCCACCATACAGAAGCAAAATAAGTAGAAGTGATTAAAGGACTGTGGGATAACAACAGTTTTAATATGACATTGATATAGAAGCATATCAGCATAGTAGCAAACACCCGATCACCATCATCACAGTGTAAGTCTACTGAAGAGCCAACATTAATTACTTTCAAATCTTACATTATAAAGTTCATATGACACTAAGCACTTTCAAAATAAAATAGCATCAAGAAATGAACATACATGTATCACCCTATCTAGTTCGGCAAAGGTGCTTTGACATAATTATGAACTGATATACATCGGAACCTACCTTTTTCATCTCACATTATATAGATTCATATTATTTAAAAATCAAAATTCTGTACAAAAATGACATCTTGTCTTCTGCATATTACTCACTTACCAAATTGAATTGTAGTGCTCACTACATGTTGATTATCATTATATACAAGAAACAGGACAAACAGTGCCTTCAGCATTTATATTTTAATTACAGGTATGACTTGGCCTAACATCATCTTAAACAACCCTCAATGACAATCTTTCATCAGACATGTACATTATATTCAAAAGCAGGAGGGGGAAATAAAACATGTGACTAAAATCAAATTAAGACCAAATTAAGAACATATAAATCATAAATATACTATAATGAACGAGCAAGATTACACCTGGATATGTTCCAACACAGGCACCAGAAAATACTGAAATAAAATATTGACAACTTCTAAGAAATAGAGATCTTATATACAGCTCAAATCATGAGATACCAAACTAAAATGATCTTGAAATGACAACAAAGCAGGAAAAAATAATTAAATGATTTTTGAGTCAAATTCAAAATTATTATTTTCTTCCCATTATCCATTTGTTAAAATAAACTGAAATTGTCAATTGCAGCAATCTGAATTTTTTTTTTATCGTAAAATGTTTTCTTCCGTGACCAAAGAGAGGAAAATTATAAAAACCTCCATTTTCTTCTCAATTTGTTTTGTTAATGTCATAATCACTTTTCAAGTACTTTCTAAATAATTCCTATTGTGAGTTTTGTAATGTAGTACACAATTTTCACAACACCTTATATCAATCAATTAATTAAAATGTGCAAGTAACTACTTCTTGCAAGCACAATAAACTGAATAATCCGAGATGTTAATTCTTGGAAATCACAATCCTCCTTATACCAACTTCTGAATGACAAGTTTCCATATACAATAAATAGTAGTTTCAAAAATTCCATGTCTTCATAGGATGGACTGTTACATAATATGTACATACTTCAATTCATCCACTCCCATAGATAATCTTGTTTTGGCAAAAAATAAGGGTTTCATACTAAAATGATGATGGCGATGATACTCGAAGGAAATCCTACATGCATACACTATGAAAAAAAGAACTTCTTTTTACAAAGCTAAATTTCAGGTTTCACAAAAAAAAAATCTTCATACATGCAACTACAAAAAATTGCTTTGTTATGAAAGAAATTCATTGATGTTTGTCATTGTGTGTAAAAAACACAATTGTTTATTTCAACATTCCTCTAATGGCAGGGAAACGAATGCATGGAAATTTAAATTCAATGAAGTATCCAAATTCTACCGAACGTATAGGTCGACAGTCCATCGAGCATGTACTTCCCTATTGCCTGCATTGTACAGCATTGCGTCATGATTTAATTCTTGATAGTGTCATTGATTTTGCCATTGATGGGGCTCATGGTCGACATGTCTACGTGATCACAAGGCTCGCCCTTCTCATACTTCTCCCAGAGCTTTGTGTAGAGGAGCTCAAGGCTCTGGGCGTACATCTTGGTGTTGAAGAGGGGGCTCTCCACTCTACGTCTCCACACCTTGGCACGGATATGCTGACGGCTGAAGGGTGAAACAAGGGGAATAAAAGGGCAAGTTTAAAAACAAAATGTGAATAAGGCAAAAGTTAAACCCTATGATAAAGACTTCTTCAGATTAAGTTTCTTCCAAGTGCGCCTTGAATTTTGTTTTGTAATACAGAGAAAGAAGGGGTTAATTAAAGGTATACTGTTGCATACATGCTAACATTTGAAAATCAGAAATCTGTACAAATTATGCTATTTAAAAAAAAAAGAGGAACAATCCTAACTCTCCGATTCAATACTACAGACAAATTTGTACAGGAAGAGGAACACCTGCATTAAAATGATAATTATCCCAAAAAGAGGAATGTTTCTCTTTAATCTGAACAGTTGGCATGTATGCTGTTGATGGGAAACCAGAAAAATCAAATCAAACTGGAGTAGAAATGCAATCAATTACCACTAATTTGAGTAAATTTCTGTATGAAGTTGGGGGGGGGGGGGGGCAGCGATCTTTATGCATACTTACAATAATCCTTTTTTTTTCTTTAAAAATATGAGACACATTCTGATTTAGAGAGGTCGATGAAGTTTTAATGTAAACATCGATAGGCATGTCAATGTGTATTGTGCTATGTGTACATAGGAAAACACAGACAAAGCTGGTATGATAACAAATACCAATCACTGCAATACACTCTCTTTTTCATTTAATCTAATGAATTAAGAGAATGGATATAAACATGACAGTACTAACATCATCATTATAAAACATGAGTAAAACTTACAACTTGATGTCTGTTCCCAGTCTGATGGCGATGTCTTCATACTCCTGCTTGGAGCTAGCAATGAGCTCAGGGCAGCCCAAGGTCTGGAGCTGAGAGGCAGCAACACGTGAAGCAAGAGTCTCACCTGAAAAGCATTGCAAAGCAAACAAATACATGGTTGAGTCATCATATAATTCATTTGACCCATTCTAGACAACTTTATTTTCTTAATAACACACAACCCTCTGGGTTTCTGTTACATAAAAATAATAGTATTATAGAAAGGGGTCTTACAGAGGGATCTCAGTGCAACAATTTTCTTGGGACCATGGTAATTGCCTTGTTATATTGTGGCTCAAAAACACAAAATAAAAAGAAATAGGACCAGCAAGATTACCTAGTTATGGAAGTACAACATAACAAATGTTACTTTTAACAAGGTTCTGCTGTGTGTCCCATTTGTCCCAAGATTGCAAAGGACCAGTTATGCATACAGTTTTTGAGGCACATCACAGCTCATTTATCTATTGGTGCCAATGACTACCCAATATCCGACAGGACACAGAAAGGTCATGCATCACTTGCTGTAATGGCCAGTGAAATATGTCCCGTTACTATAGGTTTCAGGGGAATTTTGTGCAGTAAATGAGCATTAAAAGCAAAAATTAAAAGCCAAATCAATCATTCATTTTGATTGACTGACAAACTCCATGAAAAGTAGATCCTTAGTTGATAGAAACCCACCTGGTAGAGTGATCATAGGTGTGCCTGCCCAAAGTACATCCATGCCCGTGGTATGTCCGTTACAGAGGGGTGTGTCCAGACAGACATCAGCAAGCTGACCTCGTCTCACATGCTCCTCCTTGGACGCTACTGCAGAGAAGACCAGGCTGCCTTTGGGCATGCCAAGCTGGGTGGCTGTAGCAAGCAGGTGGGGTTCACCGGCAGCAGGGAAGCGCAGCAGCCACAGAACACTGTTGGGCACCTTCTGAATAATCTGCATTAGCAGAAGAAGAAAAAAGGGGGAACAGGTTAGTGGGTTGATATAAGTGAGTTACATGAAATAAAGTCAGAAAATATGAAAAATGCTTCTATTAAACGCATCATTTGTTTGAGCAACAGCATTTCCTATGGCAGGCAATATATTTGCTCCATCTGCTACTTTAATATAAATTTATCTGAATATTTAATATCTCAACACTGCAGTTTAAGTTGCTGGCCGCAAACTGAACACCAGTGTTGGACAATATTCTTGGAGATCATTCATTTAGATATGATCAGATTTAAAATTCATCAATGAATATAAAAGCTACTGCTAACTTTATGCATATAAATGAGCACACAAAGAATTCTGAGGAACACTAATGTATGACAGCAGGGCTCTCATTAACAGCTACAATTGCTTCAAAGCAGTTGCAATTTTGTTCTATAAAGATTAGGGTTTGCCAGTTTGCGATAGATTGGAGATTTGCAAGCAATCCTGATCAATCACAATTCTTTTTTTTAAATGGGTCCCAGGTTTTAGAATGTCTAGATGATTGAAAGGTATGAGGTAAGACTTACATTGACCCACATCCTGAGAGTAGCTGGATCGATCTTGTAGAGCTGGTTGAAGTTACAGAAGACGATAGCGTCATCAGGGAGTCCATACATATTACGGGTTGTGATCAGAGGATACGATGGAACCTCTTCACCGGTAGCAGACTTGGGGATCGACTAAGGAGGGAAGCAGAAGATGGCACAATGCAAACGGTGTTTGGTTAAGTTTCAGATTGGAGACAACATCAAGTCATGCATGAAACACTGAATACTAGCCAAGACAGTGCCAAGTCTGCTACACCACCACTTTTCCCCCAGTCCAAAGGCACAGAAAAATGCCTCACAGACAGATTCAGATAATATTAACAATAATATGCTTTTTTTTTTACAGCGCAGTTCAATCAAGATTCGGTTCTAGAGACAGTTTTACACACAAATTTGTCATAAACACTAGAGCAGACCAATGAATTGATTCAACTATAAGTTAAATGAAATAACAAGCAAAGAAGTTTGACATAATGTTCGCCTTTAGATAGAGAGCAGGATTAAATAAACTAATTACAAAACATTGATTAAATAAGTTAGGAGAAGTGTTTTAGAGCTTTAACAAAGGATTCTAGACTGCACTAAGGAAATTACTTCTTTGAGATGTGACACGTTAGGTTTTTGGTTGTTTAAAACGTTCTGGACTAGTTTGAGATCTGAGTGGTTGAGGAAGGAAATTCAATGGGACTGGGCCTCTATGTGCAAAAGATGATACAATTCATTTATTTCCACATAACTAATAAAAAGATGGGTAAAATGTGTACAAAAACTCAACTGAATAAATATTGAAATACTTAACATGCTAATTTATTATATGTGAAGGGACTAGCAAATGCCCACGGCCTATCAAGGGCTTACCCCAGCGAGGTTGGAATACGACAAAAATCAAGCCGATGAACTAAACAATTACTTAGAACAAAATGATACAATCATCAATTTTAAGCACATCCAAATGTCAAAATGCTAGCAAATCAATACTAGAAATGAGGTTCATTGAATAAAATATTCCTTCTATAAGAATTGAGGCGAGTAACTTCAGTATCTGGGCAAGCAAGTTTATGTTAGCCTACAGTCGTCGGACTGGGCTAGGGTTAGGAGAAACATAGTTTAATGCAATCTATACAAGTAGAATGAATTTTAAAATGCCTCTAGAAGAATCATCAAATCATATACAAGAATTACATATATGACTGATGAATGACATGGATTTCACATCATCATGTTGTTCAAGCAGTGTATGGGTCTCAATATCCTATTCTGCTACCATCATACTGTAAATATCAAACCAGTTCACAAGGGTATTCATACTTGATGCACACTTCTTCAATACACGTTGCTCCTATCAACTCCCCAATCATCGCAACAAATTATTTACACAAGGTTCCATCATCACAAAGAGTTCTGTAGAAAAAACAATGACTTTGACTAAGCCTGTGAACTTTTCTACTGTTATGAGTGCATTATCTAACCTTGTAATCGCCTACCTGTGTGAGAGCTAGTCCATTACACACAGTGATACCATTGATGGTGCCCTGAACCTGTCCAGATTGGATCAGACTGTGCAGGGCTTGAGATGTGCTGCTTTCAATCACAGGGAAATGAAGCTTCTCTCCGTTAGACACCTCTCCATTCGTAGCAACCTGTAGAAAGAAAGGAAGGACAAACATTCACCTCATCAGCACTGACTTTCTCTAATATGAAGTTGACTGCATTCATGGAACTGGTAGTCTTCATTTGCTTGTCACTTTAATCGAAACAATAGTATCAAAACTACTTGGCAAAGCTGCACAGCACGACACTATAGCACCTCTTCAACTCATGGTGTGTTCTCTCTAAACATATCGATATAAACTTGACAGTTTGACCATAATTATCATTTACATTCCTCTCGCTGTGTTAATGATTGTAATTAACACATGGCAGGATCAATTTTTGTTAATCCAAATACCCTTCTACTGCACCCTCACTAATGCTCACAAGCAAGGTAGATTCTCTCAACAAAAATGTCCACTGTACACACATAAGCTTATGCATCGTGTGCACGCTGCTTCGTGAAACCAGAGATGAAAATCACTTCAGATTGTCCTTCAAATTACATTCAAACCTGCTTTAGTGACCACCTGTCTACAAAGGCCACATTTGTTGTTTCCCTTAAAAATGGTTTCTCATTGAATCATGTACTAAAGGAACCTGTCTACAAAGACCACCTGTCTACAAAGGCCAACTTTTGTGTTTCCCTTGGGTGGTCACTATAGACAGGTTTCACTGTACTAGCATTTGCTAAATCTGGGTAGCATACATACCTTATCTGAGACGCCGAGTTTCTCCAGGGTGGCCTTGAGATTGATTGAGTTGATGACCGCCACGTTGTCCCTGCTTGAGCCGCTCTTGACCTCAACAATTGCCTTGTCCAGAAGATGAGGGAACATGTTCCAGTGATCTCCGATGAAGAAAGTATGCCTCATGAAGGCCAGTTTCTCAGAGTACTGACTGGCTAGTTCCATGGGGGATGTGACCGAGTCGGTGATCAGATAGTCCATGAAGGATGCCCCGCTGGTTCCTGGGTAGCCAAGCCACATTACCTGATGAGAGAAAGAGTATATTTATAAATAATAATGATAATATGAACACTTATAATGCCCCGGTATCCATCACAAAAGTGATGCTCATGGCGCAGAAGAAAATAGAGTAGAAATAGTCACATGAACATGAAAGTACAAACATTTAACTTTAAATCATATGATACACTACACTTAATACTTAGCAGTATGTGACATTGAAAAAGTATGTCTCGAGTGCGGTTTTAAATTCATTGACAGATGACAGATTACGAATAGATTGTGGCAGTTTGTTCCAAAGTAATGGACCGGCATGTTAACAAAAATCAAATCATTTACATTATATTGGTTGACTGGAACCTCATCTATAGCATTGTCTAAGTATAAAGGACTGGGACAAAGATTTATTGCCTGAATCATGATCGGAATCTGTTATCCGATTTGATCAACTCAGTCTCTTAAAGTTGTTAATATGTGGACTCAGGTGTAGGAGAAGATTTCATTTTGTCCGTGACGTAATATTCCTTGGCAATAACCAAGGAACTTAACCCATGGAAGTGTGGAAACAGGAAATACCAAAGTCTAATTCTTGTCGCACAGTAAAGTTTAATCTAATCTATCAAAACCTCATTAACCCTCACCAAGATACAACAAAAAAAATTCTGGAAAAGATTAGGACATTTCTGTCTGCTCATCTTATCAGTAGGACATTATATGAGGGAAATTAAAGGATTTTATGATTGATGATGAGGCACCAGCTAATCAACTACATACATTTACTTATGAAGGATTTCTACCTGAATAGGTGCTGGCCTGAGAGCAAAGATTTCATTGCGAGCTCCTTTTGTGTATCCATTCATGTTGACCAAGACGTGGATGCCATCGGCACTGATGCGATCTGCAGCCTTGCCATTGCACTGGATCTGTAAACACAATATAGGTTCATAAAATACATCACTAAGGGACATCAAAAACAAGAACAAAACCCTCAATACTGTACAATGGTACGACTTGCACAAGTGAAATAACCAAAACTTATCATTTCATGGTAACCGTACCCTTTTCCATCTGTATTCAATCAAAATCTACACCAAAACTGAAATCTCTTTATGATAGAGCTGACCATATGTGGCTGATAGCCAACAGCCTGTTATTCCCTACAAGATGACTCTTTCTATACATCTGCCTTTCATTAATTAAATCAAATTATTCAGTCCTTTCCTTCATGAGCCTCTAGTATGAAAAGAGTAATTGTATTTCCTTGGTGATTGAAACTGAATAAAGTACAAATCTATTCACTTGATATTCCGGACAAACTTGAGACTCAATGATTTGTCCATGATACATCAGATTTTAGATTTTGTATGGTTTAAGAACTTTGAGTGGGGATAAGCTGTTTGAAAAACAGAACCAGAAGATGTTGTTACCTGTGAGAGATCCACGAAGTGTTCAGCTTCCTTCATGGCTTTTGATCTAAAAGAAGTGTTGTCATCAGGGCTCAGAGCATAGCAGAAGATCTGGAGTGCCAAGAAAAAGAGAAAAGACCATCAATTAAGAAATAATGACAAAACTTAAGTAACCGTAATCAAACATGCAAAAGATAGGTAAACATGAGAGAATGTATATTTCTCCAGCATATCTCAATGAGAGAATTCATTAATTCATTGATATTTTCTTAAATTTCTCCCATGGTATGTAGTTCGATCATTCATTATCAGTCCATTGTTAAGGATGATGACAAGATGAAACACTTCCATGTTTTCTTGCATGGCTCCACAGTCCAATACTGCTGGAGCTGCAGAAGCCACACTCATTGCTAAGCATGAGGTTTTTCAATAACATAAAGAGAGCAGATTTCTGCAGCATGCTCTCAGCAGCTTCAGTGTTCTGTTTCTGAGGCATTACCTGCTGCAGCTAGGAATTATGCCATTCAAATCTCAATGGTTACACATTAGCAGATCTATACATAGCATTCCTAAACTTTTGGACAAATCATGTCATATATAAAGGATTTTTCATTGAAATCTTCTAATACAATAGATTCCTCTTGTAAATAAATCGCAACCAGCGGCAGCATCATCAAGAAAAGTAGTTCTCTCCACAAAGGTATACAACTTGTAGTTCTACAACAGATAGATGCTTTACCTCCACCATGTCCTTGCTGTGTTTTCCTGGGATGCTCTGCATGAGATGAGATGTAGGATGGTTGCCAAAGTCTGAACTGACGTAGCCAACTCTGAGTCTACCACCACTAGCAGTCAGGTCCTGTGGATGGTTGAAGGCGGGCTTGTGGAGGACAGTGATCTGTAGAAGAAATGTACGTTGGAACCTGCTTTAGCAACCACCTGTTTAGAAAGCCAACCTGGGCCTCATTTCACAAAACATGTCATCAGTGACAAATGACAGTTTTGCTTTTAAGCTAGTGAAATCGTTGCTTCTGATTGGTTATCAGCAGATTTGTCACTGGTTTTTGTCATTCGTCATTGAAAAAAAGGCTTTGTGAAACAGGTCCCTGGCCTATTAACACATTTTGTTTTGTTTTGTTACTGGAGACAGACTTCTCATTAGACATGCACAAAAGGAACCTGAACAAAATGTTTTTCTTGTCACAGCTGAATCTTTTTGAGGCTCAAAAAATTGTACTTTATGAACAAAACTAATTCAGAAACTATTGAAGTATAACAACTATCCCGACACATCGTGGATACCTATTGGTTCAGCTACATTACCATAGAAGACTCCAAGCACACCAGATATGTTGGATTTCCATACATAAAATCCTGAAAAGGCGTCATGGTCTGTAACCTGGCAAATGACTGATGACTGATATTTGTCATAAGGTTTAAGACCAAGAGGATTATATACCAGGGGTGATAGTGAGCACTAAAAAAAAAAAAGGATACAGGGAAGAAAAAAATGGCATCTAACAAAATCCCCCCCCCTTTCAGGTAATTATCAGGCCTGTTACATACCTTCTCAAGGCAGAGGTTCCCATGCCTTGCAGCGATGGCCTTTCTGAATCCATGAGATAGAGGGTAGAGCATGCTGTGATGAGGATGGACTGATGGAAGCCTGTTCTTCTCCAGCTGATCAGCAACGATCGATACTAATCTCTTCATCCTCGACTCATAGTCTGTCCAGTCACACACAATCTGTTTCAACACAAGATTTAAGATAAATGATTATGAATTCCCAGGCATCGATATGAAGGATTATGAATTCCCAGGCATCAATATAAAGGTTTATAAATTCCCAGGCATCAATATAAAGATGAATCTATATCTTAAGTATAACCTCTCTTGAGTATATGGTAATGCAATAACCCAGTTCGTAAATACTATCTGCACATGGGCAGATAAAGGTCATTTGAGACGAACACTAGTATCGTGCTCATGAAAGTTATGTAATCAGTATTCATTTATGCGCCGACGGTACATTTATCTGATACACAGGTTGAAGTATTCTTCTCAAGAGGCAAACAAAAGGTATTCATGAAGCACCTCCATCACTTTGGCAGTGATTATTCTAAAATTCTAAAGTGTAAAAGATCAGTGGATATTTTGGGGTCATGCGTGACAAAGCTATTTACAAACTGGCTAATTGATGCCTTTGAAAACCAAGAGTCACATAGTGTAGACTCTAGACAGGACTTCTTGGTAGTCTTGATGTACAAGGTTTAGAGAGTCCAAAGCCAACAGACTCCAGGGGAGTGTTTCACAAAGATCCTAAGTAGAACTTAACACTAAGTTGGACTTAAAAAGTATGGACAGCCATTGGAGCCTTAAAATGAAATATATTCAAAAGCAAAAATTGGAGTATTTTAGACTTTTCATCAATTCCACATCAAGAACATGAAATCTCCCATGATAATAGAAAATACAATGATTTGAATCAACATTTTATGCCTTCTAAAAAAAAAATTACAAAATGTTTTCAAGGATGCTAATGGCTTCCCATAAATTTTAAGTCAAACTTAGAGATAAGTTCAACTTAGGATCTTTGTGAAACACCCCCCAGGTCTCACAGCATTAACCAGTGAAGGTCTTTTTCTGATCAACATTTGGTTAAATCTAGAAGGAACTTTGACAAACTTTTACAAATTGCTAGCAATTACACAAAACAGATCCAAGGTGCACCAACATTTACAATTATGTTTCCAAATGCCGACTTCATATCAACCTGATACTTAACATTTAAGGAGTAAAACTAAACAAGATTTTAGCTCATCAAATCCAGCCAATCTGTGCCTCTTTTGAAAATATATCAATGACAAAACTGTCGTGATAATCACTCACTCACTGCTTCACTACATGACTAAATTACTACGAGTACTTACTTGTAAGCAATGAGCTAAGTTACAGTAGGCATCAGGGAAATTTGGCTTCAATTTCAATGCTGTTCTGTATGATTCAATTGCTTCAGGTATATTCCCAGAGTCCTGTTAATAATAAATAAAACATACATATTTCAATTTCTGAAACAGTTTGCTGACCCAAGAATTGTATTACTGCTGAGAACTTATTCAACTTTCAGAACAAATGACTTATATGGTACAAATAGTTCATTTGTGTGTTACAGTATTCCAGTGAAATTATTTTGGGGAGAGGATTGTTACAAAAAGTGTAGACAGAATTTCACTGCTACATCGAATGCAAATATGAAATGGAATACACATCACAGCCTTAAATATTGTTCTTAATTTTCTTAATCAAATATGAGAAAGTGTGATTTACATGTATTTCAAGAAACAAATGCATCTGACATTTATAAAGTAACAATAGAACATACTGTAATCACAAGTATTAATTCACTTGATTGTACTGACTTTATCAAATATAATCAATAAAATTAAATCAATTCAGTTACTGAGTACAGCAATATGACTGTCAATTCTAACCAGTCTTTGCATGTAGATGTTTACCTTATGAACTGAAGCTAGATTACTATGAGCATCAGCGAAGGCAGGGTTGATTTGAATGGCCCTAGTGTAGCATTGCAGAGCTCCTTGGATGTCTTGCATCTCCTTCAGTGTGTTGCCCATGTTAGAGTAGGCATCGGCGAATGTGGGTGAGATCCTGGGAACCAAAGAAATGATAGAGAGATTCAAGAAGTTTATCCATGTGTCCCAAGACATCAAAAAGAGCAACATCGTTTTACAGATTTCTTACCACCATTATCATAAATAATACCTTTTATAAATTACATAGTTGCTTTGAAATCAAGGTTGTGACAAGCGCAGATATTTACACTTTCATAATTTAAATAGCTGAATCTACTCAATCTTGACTTTGGTATATTTTCTATCATAATTACGAACAATATCATCATATTTCTCCTCCATGTTTTGGCATGTATCTACTACAACAACAAAAAGAGTCGAAGTGGATTGATTATGACTTGCGAGTTAGCATCTCGGTCAGACCAATGAGATCGACACTGGACTGACTACAAACTGAACAAAACATGACATGACCTCTTGATGATCAATATCAGCTTGTCTGGGGGCATATTCCAGGTGCTAAAGGCAGTGCTTCACACATAAGACTGTCAAAGTAATTTAAAATTCAAATGAGATAGGATGCCACTCGGCTATAAAAGAGCGGGGATCTGAGAAGGTATTCATCTTTTTGGATAATGTAAGGTGGAAGGAGATTGTGTACTTTGTACAAAGAAAGTGTATTAAATGTGTGTATCCAGTAACAACAATCAATCATACTAGAATCAATCAGAGTATGTCAACTTTAGTGAAAATTGTGATTTCATGGGTGGGTAGCAGCTTGGCAGGGTGAGTGTAGTGTAACACAGGTATAGAGTTTGATCAACACACTGACTGTCACTGAGCCTACCTGATGGCTTCTTTGTAGTGTAGAAGAGCCTCCTGGAGTTTGCCCTGCTGCTGCAATACACTGGCAAGATTGGAATGAGCAGCGGCAAACTCTGGGAAGATCTCAAGGGCCTTGCAGTAGAGCTGGATGGAGCCCTCTACATTGCCCTGTTCTCTCTTGATGTTGGCTAGGTTGTTCAGCGAGTCTGCATGGGTCGGACATAGTCTCAGGGCCGTGTTGTAACAGTCCTCTGCCTCAGCGACCTAGTGTGAACGAACAAATGAAAGAGATGCATCAGCATTGCTTTCCTAAGGTTATATCGTAATTAAAAGTGATGTGCTGTATTGTGCCATCCTCTTATAACTACCAGGCTGCCAATGGTTTTAAAGACTGTCATTGTTGGTCAAACAGTTTTTGAGCGCCAAGTAAAGCCTGGCTGGAATGCTCCCCGGGGAGTGGAGATTGTGAACACAGTGTATCCAATGACCGGGGTAATAGTATATCTGTAAAGCGCTGGGAGTTATCGTAGATGTATTAAGCGCTATATAAAAGCAGAATATTATTATTATTATTATTATTATAACTACCAGGCTGCCAATGGTTTCAGAGACTTACAAGAAAGTCAATTACCACCCAACACATTAGCTTTCAACAAGTATCCCTGAGTGCCTGAAATTGACAGAGGTTTCCAACCACCATGAAAGAGGCCATGAATGACATGTAATCTTCAATATCATTCCATCAAAAACTAACCGACAATGTTAAGCAGAGTATAAAACTCAAGCTCTTTAAAAATTGAGATGTTTTTGAAAATCATTATATACATAAAATATAACCCTTTGTCTCATCTGGTTGCACGAGTCGTTCTGAAATCACAAACGTATTTGAACTTTGGTCATTATCAAAAGAATACAAGACATGACCCTCTGTTTCATATGGTGACCACATTCAACACACCATGAAGTTTGTTCGACTGTGATGTTATAATCTCTTATTTACAAATGACAATTCATTCATATGCAATGGTATTTGCTTTCCATCTTTGCATAAAAACATCATAACTGAACATCTTGTGCAAATAATAATTGCATTTTTCATATTTCAATCAATTTCATTTCTGACTAGCTACTCGACTTACCTTTCCTTGTTCCTTGAGTGCATTGGCAAGATTGCAGTATGCATCTGGGAAGTGTGGTTGTAGTTCAATAGCCCTCTTGTATGTATCAATGGCTAGGTCAATCAACCTGCAAAGAAGATAAGAATTAATTAGTACATCATGTTTCAGCTTATCCAAAAAATGAATTATGCTCAAGTTTCAAATGTCAAACAAATTGGTGGGACTGTTTTTACACAAGATTTAATATCAATTGGTGGATACAAGAAGGCCTAGAGAATCTTGCTTTGACAAGGAAAATTGTGAGAAGGAGGAGTAGGGAAAAAAGGAGGATATTTTGGATGGACAGTCTGCAGAAATTGTTGGAAGAGAGAGGAGTGAAAGAACTGGGAGTAGTGCTAATAGTGAAGGCTAGGAGCCGAGAGTTGTGGAACAGCATGATCACCAAAGTCAATCGATATGGCACTTAGAGAGACAGAGGTGGATACACCTATGGAAACAATTATTTCACGACTCAATGACATGATGTATCGAACAAACTACTGTAGAAACTAAATTGCGATGGGAAAGAGAAAGAGAACTTACCCCTGCTCATAGTAAACACAGGCCAGATTTCCATGAACCACCGCATGGTTCGGACTCAGCTGTAGAGCTCGAAGATAGGCACCAACAGCTCTGAAAATAAAGATATATCATACAGGAAAGTTTAATAACCTACGGGTACACAGAATGCCAAGATTATTTTTAAAATACAATAACTGCTGCTTGAGGTTTCTAGTAGTCTTAATGATAATACACAAAAGAATGGAATAATATCCTTGACACATGAAGTGAGACTTTTCTCATATATGATGACTGAACTCATGCCTGTCATGGACAATGCTTCTCTTCTCATCCATTTCCGGTTGTGTCTCCTCAAAAGTGGTAAGTTTTATCACAAGTATTGTATTGATGCTAATTTATCAATCTACAACGGTACTGACTATCCACTTGCTAAGAAGCCATTTATCATACGGCACGTGAGTGATTGAGACGATTGAAAAGAGCGACTCACCTGTCAAATATACGGGCCTCCTTAAGGACATTGCCAAGGTTGATGTACGCATCTAAGAAGTTAGGGTCTAGTGTCACAGCCTGGGATAAATACATATAGCATAGACATGGTTTCAAAAGCAATACGTTTACTCATTTGATTATCTAAAACAAAGCCCCTGAATGGTTTAATTTCATTCTTGCCCCGAGTATGGTATAGTAAAAGGAAGATATCAGACAGTGTTCAAATCAAGACATAAATACTGTCATTTCTAACCAATGCAAAGGCCAACTGTGAGAAATACATTTGCTTAATTCTTATTTCATCAAACAAATCATTGACAAATTTTACATAACTAATGTATATTCCTACTTTAGGAGCTCATTAACTCTATTCCTCTCTTCACGATACGGAATATATACACATTTCACATACTTAAGCAGGGAGTGTATGGTCCTTATTAAAGAAATAAAGGTCTTTATCATCAATAATGCTAACAGGAAAAGTGCGATTTTGAACTACATGTAACAGATTTTACAGATTTTAAGTTGAACAATTCCACAATGCAGGCACTACCAACCTTCTCAAAGTGATGAATAGCGAGCCAGATCTCGCCCTGGCTATTGAAGACGCACCCCAAGTTACTCCATGCCACAGCAAAGTTAGGCTGTGTCTCGATGGCTTTCAAATAGCATGCCTTTAGACACACCATGAACCAAGCCAGCAAGCAGACAAGGGCATTGCCATGAAAGGCAATGATGATGTAGAAAAGGAAGGGGATAGGAGAAAGGCAGAGAAGAGAAGGGGGAAAACAGAAGGAATGCCCAATTGATTTGTGGGCAAAGGAATAAAGGAAAATGGGATGACAAAAAGGAGAGAAAAATATGCATTAGTTTCTCATATTGGGGGGTTTTCGTGCGCTAAGCTATGAGAATGTGGTTTTGTAGTCATATTTGAAAAATCAGATACATGGTAGGCTAATGGCCAGAAAACTGTCAGAATGTCAAATTGATAAGTGACTGCATGCGATAAAGCATTTGTTTTTCTCTCTACCAATCTGGTTTTCAGATATGACTACACGCAAGCATAGTGCGCAGCAGCAGAGTTAATGCTAATTTGCCTGGATTTCTCAATTCCCTGGTCCCTCAAACAATAATGTCAGGTTAGCTGTTCAATAAATATTCTAAATTTTGAAAAGTCTCCCAGATTCTGCATCTTCCCATTTCTCAACAACCTTATTAAAAAGAATTCACCATCATCTAAATCTGGAACAGAAACACCTTGTTTCATTGTTTGGGTACCATGGACAATGCAGGCAAACTACGCTATGGCACACTTTTCTAAGCCGCTTGCGTAGGACATATCAAGCCAGCCCTATGAGCGCAACCCTAGAAAGCGCGCTTATACTGAAATGCTCAAGCAGCAGCGCTTCCAACATAATGCTTTGCAAGGCACGCGATCAGCATGCAACACATGAAAAAATCTGGCTTAAAGGTAATCTTGATTTATTGTAATGAAACTTAATGTCAAATAAAAGAAATCAGCATTCTCAGTAACAAATGCCAAGAAAATAAAGGAAACTTGCTGAAGGCACTTAAGTGCACCAACAGGACATGACATTATGGGATGAGCAGCCATAACCGACTTGACTGATCGATCACTAGCTTTATTCACTCCCCGAAATCCATGTTCAAATACTTAGCAACTAAATTCATTTTGGCAGATATCCATTTGTGGTTCATATTAATTTGTTTGAAGTTTTAGTCATGTCAAGAGCTCAAGACTACCTTTAATATAGCTGCAATATAAAACAATACCTGCAGTATGCAGCAGCGCTGAACAACCACATTCTCGCGTCTCGCATTAGCGTCAATGTGCAAGCGCGCGAGCGCTGAAGCTTGCAAGTGAGCGTGTGTGTGACAGAAATGTTTAGTACAAAAACTGTTTATTTTACCTCCAGACGTCTTTAAATACTGGCTAATGATGTTTTAACCTCCATTTTATCATAATAATTTATCTTTTTTTTGTTCGTTTTTGTTCGTTGGTCAATTCAAAATCTTTTCATAATTTTTCTTTTCTGTTTAACATTTTTTCCTCCAGCCACATCACATGTCTTACTGCTTGGCTAACTGTGAAGGAACTACCAAGTCATGAACCAGTATTCCAGGCCTTAATGACGTCCACTGCTACACTTGGGTTCCTTGCGGGGGCATCCAGTAGGGCAAAAAGAACAACTTGTATCAACCTATGGCACACAGAAGACCGTTCCTGTTGACAATTTAACCTTCAGAAGTGCATGAATGAATATATAAAAAGAATGAGAGAAGAAAAAGAAAAAAAATCTCAAATTAGTATCAGCGCAATATGAAGGAAAATGACATTACAAGCATTGATTGAACTACAAGATAAAGGAAAGAGCTAATTCTCAACACAAAGATGAATGCATTAATTCAACTGCATCAATATTGCAAGGATTAATTTTCACGAGCCTCTTCATGGCTTGCCTGTGACAACTTAATGGGAAAATGTTTTATAGCATTGTTAACAAATCCAACAAGTTGACATTGACACAATAGCTCGCATAGCAGCAGATTAGCGTACTACAGCGCATATGAGCAAACTGAATGTAATAACAGAATAAAATAGGCATGATTATCAAAAACAAAAGATCAATTTATTAAAGGTACTTTTAATTGAATCGGACCAACCCTGTCCCCAAAATTTGTGAATGAATGGTTTAAATTATTTAAGGCCTGGCATATTATTTTAATAGATTCTGTTTGCTCACATTGGCAAACAAGCTGAACGATGTCCATCTGTTGAATTCTCTGTTGATAGCAAGGCAGCAGCAGCACTTATCTAGCATCTACGCGATTTCATTTCCTTAGGGCATGGAGTCTTATGTTGGTATGTATCGAACCCAACTTTTGAGGATAAATCACAAATTAACTTCACATGTTTTTAAGTAAATAATTGCACTAACAATTTTTTCCTTCAAGGAAATCTTATTTTCAAATTCAACATTGAATAAAAGACATTTAACTCTATGTGTGCATTAAATAAATAAATACTCGGGCACTGAGGAAACAAAATTTTGCAAGGATGAATCAGCTTGGTCGTGATGATTGTAGCTCTGCTTCCAATTCAAGCTGATCCACGCTGCGTGCACACAAAGCGCTGCAACCAGCACGCAAGCAGGCGCAAGGCAAGGCAAGGCAGCATAGCATTGAGCAGTAATCTAGTAACCTTAGCAGCAGTAGCAGCAGCGGCAGCACAGAAGCCAGGATGAAGATTCGCACAAACCACTTTGGATACAGCTCCCCCATGATGACATGATGAAAGGCTTCAAGGCAGCGCTTAGCAGCAGCAACAGCAGCATGAAATGAGCCACTGTCAACCTGTAGACTGGCTACCAATGCTTTCAGGGAATCCAAAAGATCAGGTATCCACCCTTCCTTTCACATCCAGTCTTTAGTTTACAGAACCTTTCACATCAAAATGATATCTTCCTCCTAACCCGCCAATCCCATGAGATGACATGCAATTATGATGAATGAATGAACATGTATTTCACAAGCAAATCAGTCATGAAATAGATTTTATAGAATATTGTGGAATTTGTTACATCTACATATATTAATGAATACAAAAGCCTTTTTTTTCCCAGCATCAAAAATCAATTTATCTACTTTGAAAAGATTTTTTTTAAAGTTACGGAAACATAAAATTGCAAGCATTCGAGGTATTCAATAAAAAAAAGTTTCCATTTTAAATTTGTTATATTATTCTCAATTTGACTGCATACTTTGGTTGCATTATTAGACAAGGTCAATTTCTGTTTGGCAGACAAACCTTAGAAAGGGCATTGCAAACCTGTGGTGATACCTTACCTTTGCTTCATCTAGTCTACCGAGTGCCTTGAGGAGGTTGCCTAGATCACTACGAACGCAGTAAAGATCCTGTCAAAAAAAGATGTGGTAATAAGACATTGTTATATTCACCAAATGATGAGAGATGATCATCTGAACTGTCAAACAAAACATGTTGAACTATAATGACCATAAGGCTAAGACAAACGTTTGTGAATGATGACAAACTGGACACTGCTATACAAGATCCTCCTTAAATTTGATGTTGTTTCCACCCAGTATGGCAATGGCTGTCTCAATTGAAAACATCACTGAATGTAGTAACTTAACCATTCAAGAAACATTTTCAAATAAGAGTATTTATGAAAATTTAAGCCAGAATAGCATGAATAATGACATCAGGTGGTGCTTATCCAAAAGCAGAAATCGAGGGTTCAGTAACACAAAGACGTAACTCTATATTTTGCCAAAATGAGTATTTAACTAGATGGAATTTTGACTGCGCGCAGTCGAAAATGATGCCTCCGCCATAGAGCAATTTAAACAAGTTTGGAGTTTAAATCTCCAGTGGCTCTTGAGATATCATGATAACAATCTCAATGTATGGAATTTCATAAGTTGACCTCTGTGACCCTTGACCTTTGACCTACGTGCTCCAAAATCTAATCAGATTGTCTTCCTATGGTGATACACACTATCATTAAGTTTGAAGTTTAAATCTCCAGTGGTTCTTGAGATATTATGATAACAATCTCAATGTATGGAATTTCATAAGTTGACCTCTGTGACCCTTGACCTTTGACCTACGTGCTCCAAAATCTAATCAGATCGTCTTCCTATGGTGATACATACTATCCTTAAATTTGAAGTTTTTACATCTCCGGTGGTTCTTGAGATATCATGATAACAATCTCAATGTATGGAATTTCATAAGTTGACCTCTATGACCCTTGACCTTTGACCTACGTGCTCCAAAATGTAATCAGATTGTTTTCCTATAGTGATACACACTATCACTAAGTTTGAAGTTTAAATCTCCAGTGGTTCTTGAGATATCATGATAACAATCTCAATGTATGGAATTTCATAAGTTGACCTCTGTGACCCTTGACCTTTGACATACGTGCTCCAAAATCTAATCAGATCGTCTTCCTATTGTGATACATACTATCCTTAAGTTTGAAGTTTAAATCTCAAATGGTTCTTGAGATATCGCGCTAACAAACTCAATACAAGGAATTTCATAAGTTGACCTCTGTGACCTGTGACCTTTGACCTACGTACTCCAAAATCTAATCAGATCGTCTTCCTATGGTGATAAATACTATTCCCGAGTCTTAAGTTTATATCTTAAATGGTTCTTGAGATATTGTGATAACGGTCAAACGGGACGGACGTACGGACGTACGGACGGACAACCCGAAAACATGATGCCTCCGGCACCACCTTCGGTGGCGGAGGCATAAAAACAAAATGTTCAGAAAAATGTGGGCTTTCAAGGAAACACAAAGACTCAACTCCATCCAACACCCCATTGAAGTCAATGGCTAGTAAAACATAGACTTAACTCCTTAAAGCCCAAGAGCTCAGTGACACATAAACCACTTATTTCTCAAAATGGCAAAAATGGAGTTAAGTCTTTGTGTCACTGACCCCTCGAAATGAACAAATTTACAAATTGCAATAAAAAAAATTACTGAAGAAACTCACCGGGTTATACTGTAGAGCTGTGACGTACGCCTGGACGGCTCCCTCCATGTCGGCTGCAGCAACTAGAGCCGCAGCAAGGTTGATGTAACCGTCTATGAAGTCTGGCTTCAGTCTCACAGCATGCCTGTAGTTTTCAAGAGCTTCTTGCAGCTGACCCTTCTCTTTAAAGACATTCCCCAGATTGGAGTATGCTTCCGCTAACATTGGATTCTGTTTTATTGCCAGAGTACTGAAATGTGCAGATCTAGAAGGAAAGGCGAGCAAACAAATTTGTTTGTGAATGACTGCTCCCTTGTTTAAATATACCTACATGTCTACTCTGTCCTATTAATGAATCTAACATTTTGGCAAAAGTTTGTTTCAGTTACAGAGAAACAAAAACACAAACACAAACAAAAAATGAATAATTAGAGCGTGGAAGGAGTAATGCATTGATGTACATGTATGTAAATAATATCCCCTTGTAGACAGGCTCCAGGGCTTGCTTAAAGCTCTAAGGATTGTTAGATGCACTCCTTTGCAATCTGAGCCATAACTTGAAGCATTTTCAAACATTATTTAAAAACTAATACTTTACAAATATTTCTTTTCTTCATGGGGCGGGGTGACAATAAGTATCATCCTGAGATTTTTCAAACCTGTACAATGAAAATTCAAGACTGTAGCTGATTTTAAAACCTGTACTATCCAAATTCAAACCTGTTACTGTTACATGTTAAACTCTGATTAACCACCCTGATGGGAATTACCTTATCAGCTTGGTAATCTTTCAGCACAGAATTTCTTTAAAAATGTAAAATACCTGTCTAATCTCCTACACTGAAAGTGTATTGAACTCAACAGTAGAAGAACTCCAGTGTTTTCTGGCTCTTGTCTCCATAACTGCATACAATGCTTCTCAGCATTTTCATAATCTCCGGCTTGGTATTCTCTGTGCGCCAGCTCTGCAAGGCCTATAAAAAAAAATAATAACACGACAACATAAGACTAGAGCTCCCTCTTTTAAATATTAAAATGTATGGACTCAGATGAGTTTTTAAAATCTGACAAATGTGTTTAAAGTTGATACTCTAAGCAAATAAATGTCCCTTAATTTGTTACCTACGGCAAGTATATGTTATTTTTAAGTTTTTCAATTACTTAGTATATCACAAAAAAATTCTGTCTACTCGAAATCCTCAATTGAAATGTCTAAAATATACGCCTCTCTTTGCATAGAAAATCAGTCACGACGCTGGTCTACTATTTATGACCTCACGTCCGGGAGAGAGTATATTCACGTACCCGGATGTTCCATAGCAAACATGTGCAGAGTGATACGATTTTCTGCATATTTTTGTTTCAAAGGCTGAAAAGTCTAATAAATCATAATTCTATGTACAATTCTTTACCTTCCCCTAGTACTTCATAGTATTAATATCAATTCCCCTTTTAAAAATGATGACATATACATGCCAACGATGTGCTATTAGTCGATATTTTCACCATGTAATTTTTGTTTTGGTGTTGAAATCGGCCCAGGCACGGAGTGAACAGTAGCTGTCTACCCATGCACAGTTCATTACCATACACTGCAGCGATCTCCCGATGGTTTCTTCTTCCTTTTTCCCATGTCTTTCGCCTTCCTTGGCCCAGAACATCCTTCATCTACCAATTCTGACACCGGTAGTCAGGAGCAAGTCTTTGTTAGTTGTTTTTCTTAGCTGGCAACGTCACTTTCATTCTCTTGCAATTGCCGATAAACATATAACTAGCGCACGTACGTTCCATCACAAGCAAGCAGCGCCTAGAGCAGCGGCTTGGTCTTACCTCCCGATTCTGCTCGCTCCACGAACGTTCATGCAAGAGCCGCATCACTCGCCAAAATATTATAGAGGAAGCGCGCTTGCATGATCTCGTTCAAGTTTGATATTTTACAACATAAAATGTTTAACTGGTACTGTATCCTTTTTTGAGGCAGTCACACACATCTATGATAAGTACTATCATAGTTCTAGACCTATTCGTTTTACAAAACTGCTCATGTACATCTGATGACAATAATTTATAATGCATCCGCCTATTCATAAGTGCACGATTTAACTTTAATTCCTAAGCAGTAAACTCGTCTTAAATCTCTACCAAATAGGTGAATATGAGGATATAAAAAGAAATCAGCGACTGGAAAATGTTGCTTCGTTATTCTTCATTTAAATGAAAACAGAAAATCCATCAAATATACTCCTTAACAACAACAAATCTAAGCTCTGACAGAATAGCATTTACGTAGGGATATCACTGCCATTCACTCTCACTGAGCCCATGACTCCCGTTCGTGACGTCACGGATAGAGGCCCGACTCTACGTGCACTTCCGGGTTTCAGACTTAGATATTTTGGTAGAGTTTACTCGAATAAATTCATTATTCTAAACTTGTTTTGTCGGGTGGACACCATTTGGTGTTATTATGGGGGTTAAAAGCTTTCTATTTATGTAATTATCTCAGTATTTGGGATTGTCTTAGAGTATCAGCTTTAAAACAAGGAAATTTTTCTACAATTTGTTTAATTACAAATTTACTCCTTTTTTGATAGGTTGACCGGTTTCAAATAATTGAGTTTAATCATGGGAGCATAAAGAAACTTCAAATTTAGCTCTAGAAAAAAACTTGAATTTATGTCAGAGGATATTAAATCTTTTTAAAACAACAAAGGCCTCTGAATTTTATAACATGATTTTTTAAACAAAAATCTGACAAAAACAGCTCAAATACATTACATTACAATATATTTTAGTGTGATGCACACATGAAATAAATGTTTCGGATTCAAGGTCTAACAGCCAAAAGATTGATAATATAACATAAAATTTTACATAAAATGTTATTTCACTAAATCTATTCAAGCAAGTCAAATAACCAAATAAGCCAGGCTGGTTCAAGAGCACAAGGGAGGGGTGTCAATTGACCCGCCCCTCTTCTAATTGCAAAACATGTGTAGACTAGTCATAGAGAGTATGCCAAATTGGATACAATTTAAATCTTTGTTACATGATTAAAATTATTAGATCCGAGTCAGACAGCATTCATCAAAACAGTTTACATGTAGCTGTTAGTTTTTTGTGCAGTTTGTTACATGGGGACGCTGGTCTGAGAATTAGGATCGTGCGCATAAACGAGAATGAGGATCGTTTACGCGAACAAAATGCTTCCTGAAAAATACTGTTTGTCTGCAATTTTGCAGACTTTCATTTTCTTTTGCGCTCTGCAGGTTTCAGGTTTCTGATCCGCGCGTTGGCAATGCCAAAGATGGATTCCACGTAATATAATACCACCAGGTCACCGTCTACTTTAATGGGTGGTCCGTCTTCACAAGGATTTATCGCTCATAACGTGAAAGTCTCTGTACAAAGTCAATGTAAATTGCATCAAGAAAATCAATGGTCGAAGCGGAAATCCGAAGCGTCAACGAAAATGCAGACAATCCTTGTTTTTGCGGACGCGTCTGTATTTTTGAGGATGCAGTTTGTCCGTGTTTACGAGAATATCCTTGTTTTTGCGAACGCGTCTGTATTTTTTAGGACGCAGTTTGTCCGAGTTTACGAGAATATCCTTGTTTATGCGGACAATCCTCATTCTCGGACCAGCACCCCTACTGACACTGTCCGGATCATGTGTGCAAAATTTTGCAAACTCAACTTCAACTTTCAAGTTGAAAAGTGGCTTATTTTTCACAATATTTATTGCCTACAATAGTACAAAAAAGATTAAATATAATACCAAACAATTAACTCAATCATAGTCAAATCTAATAAGTTGAGGGTGCAGAGCTTGGCCCCGATAACCACAAACTCGACCAAATATCATCACATCACAGAAATGTACAACAATAGACAAGCAATAACAAGCCAATCACTCACTGCACAGCACGCCACGCCGCGCCGCGCACTTCGCCGGCTATGTTTTTTTATCATCATCGTCATTCATTCCAGTTTCAACAAATGAAAATAAAACAAAATAAAATCAAAATTCATAATAAATTAACAATATCTAAATTATTGAGATTTACCAGTGGTGGCAGTGGTAGTTGTAGTCGCATCCCCCATTGTCTCCTGTGCCTACAGTAAATTTATCAGGATTATCAGCAATCCGGGTGTTACAAAGAAATCCGAAAGTCCCAAACTACGCATCGAAAATGAAAATGGCTACCTAATTATGCAGCCCTAGTTAGCAGACCTCGTGACGTCATCGATACCCGCGTAGGAATATAAGTCCTCTAAACCATGTCGAATAAACTTAAACAAGAAAGAAATTCTTCATTTTTTTTCTTTAATGTTTCCTCAAATAAAACTTCTGGAATTATCTGACCTCATCCTCCATAAATATTATCTATAACTGAATAAACAAACACTTCAACAGGAAGACCATCTCACAAAGACCGCATCACCCTAATTTGCATAATATTGTGCGCAGGCTCAGAAGTTTGTCTTTCGGGTACACACATTATCATGCTTCCAGTTCCAATATTATTTTCGGGCATTGTTGTGAGGCCTACCAAAATAAATATTCAATCCTCTGCAACTATCTCGTTTTACATATTCAAATACCTTCCAGCAAATGTAGTTCACACTGACAGTCCAGAGAACTTTAAGGGACTATAAATTACAGGGGCGGCGGAGCGACTTAAAAAGTGAGGGCCCGGGTATCAACAAAAAGGGGCACTTTCTGGGAAAAGGGGCACGTCCAAAGTGAAAGCTCAAACCGGAAATATACAATTTTTAAACAATGGTATATACCCCTACATTTTTATTACATTATCAGGGATGATTTCAATATTTGTTTTTCTGTATACACCATACAATATATTGCTTTAGCATTATACTACCAAATCCTACGAAATTGAAAAATGGATACTTATTGCAAAGGAACATTGGAACTTGTCGAAGGGAAAAGGGGCATGACTTAAAATAAAGGTGTGTGTTATAAGTAAGAGTCTCCCTTCTTTCCCTATCCCTTTCACTCCTTTTATGTCTATTTGGTTTATGTATTTGTGCGTTCAATCCCTTATTATTAATATGCTATTTTTTGCAACTATAAGATATAGGGGGCTGCAATCTACAAGCCCCGCTTTTCAGCAGTCCCTTCCTTGACCAACCTGTTTTATATGCCTGTTGTACCCTGTGGACCAATTACAAATATATTGTTAATTTTTATTGTTTTACTATGTACAATGCAATCCCGCAAACATCATTTTATTTTGTTGGAAGTGGAAATAAACAAAAACAAAATAAAAGGGACACTTATCAAAAGTGAAAAGGGGAATTGGTACTTTTACAAATTAATAGGGGCTCTTTTCCTATGTAAAAAGGGATACTTCTTCCAAAGTTACGGGCACTTTCCCCATGTAAAAAGGGGCACTTTGGGGATAGGTTTCGTGAAAAAGTGGGGCACTGTGCCCCCCCCCGGTGGGCCACCTCTGCCCCTGGGGCATCGCCTTTTACCCTCGTACTATTAAACCTAATTTTGTCTTCCTTACACCGCTTGATATATTGGTTCATCTTCATGATATGTAGACTGTCTATCATGATCCTTTAAAGATAAGAAGAAGAAGAAGGAAGAAGAGAAGAAGAAGAAGAAGAAGAAGAAGAAGAAGAAGAAGAAGAAGAAGAAGAAGAAGAAGAAGAAGAAGAAAAAGAGGAAGAAGAAGAAGGAGAAGAAGAAGAAGGGGAAGAAGAAGAAGAAGAAGAAGAAGAAGAAGAAGAAGAAGAAGAAGAAAAAGAAGGCCCACTCCATCAATTCGTTTGTTTAGAAATTAGAACCAAAAAGATGTTGTTAATTTGTAATTGAAAACAATTAATTAATTGGCAAAGTAATGATAGGTCTAATAATAATGATAATAATAATAATATAATTATTGATAATGATAATGATATGATGATGACAATAACAATAACAACGATAATAATAATAATAATAATAATAATTTTGTAATGAAGCAAGAAATCCCCACCCCAAGAAAAATAAATGAAAACAAACAAAAAAGAAAAAGTGCATGATGGAAATAACCATTCGTTTGTATTCCTGTGGATTTATTCACTGATCTCATTATCGACGGGCATCATGAGATATACAGACTCAGCTCTAAGTCTAACTATGATGGAGTACATGCACTCTTACATGCTAGAGCCATCAATACACAGAGTTTGGCCAACTTGGTTTCATGGTTTCACTGTTCACAACATGGCGTATAATTCTTTTGTTTTGTAGTTGCCCAACTAAGCAGTAGTCAAGGGTGTCGATTTGTATCCGTGGTTGGGGGGGGGGGGGGGGATGATAGGTGCCAAAATATTTTCGGCAATGGGTCAAAGCAACCAAGAGGTAGAAGCGTGTGGCAGGTTGCACCCCTCCCCAAGGGCGTAGCCAGGATTTCATTTTAGGGGGGCGGTAGTGAGCACGCAAAGCTAAGGGGTTGGGTGCAGGGAAGGGGGAGCTTCCCCCCTCCCCCGCGAAGCCCGGAAGCTTTGACGTTTCATTAACTTATTAGAGAAAGAAGGCGATTCGATGTACCATTCTCAACTTTTAATCCTTAATGTTTGAACAAGTTCCACTTCCTCCGCGCGTAGCGCGGAAGCTCTGAAGTTGCATTAGATTATCAAAGAAAGAAGACGATTCGATGTACCATTCTCGACTCTTAATCCTTGTCAGAATTCAGTTGCCCCCCTCCCGCGCAAAGCGGAAGCTTTGACGTTTCATTTGATTATTACTCTTAATCCACGTCTAAAATCATTTTCGCCCATCCCGCGCGTAGCGCGAAAGCTTTCACGTTTTATTAAATTATAATAAAAAGAAGATGATTCGTTGTATCCTGTACTTTGACGTTTCATTTAATTATAACTCTTAATCCTAGTCTGAATTCAGTTGCCCCCCCCCCTCCCGCGCAAAGCGCGGAAGCTTTGCCGTTTCACTAAATTATTAGAGAAAGAAGACGATTCGTTGTACTGTTCTCTATATTAATCCTTGTCTGAATTCAGTTTCCCCACATGATGTACGAATGGAACGTTCGTTTGCAAATCGTTGCATGCACAGCCCGAATGGTGGGTAGCATGTTATCTCCCGGCAGTGCTTGTCGCAATAGCTTCTGGAAAGGAATGGTATACTACTGTTAGTGTTAACGGCCACTAATTAGGCCCATTAGTGACTATACAAAATATATGCTCTTCCTGGCTATTTGGGAATGTGTCAGTTTGCAACAGAAATGGAGAAACGCGAATTTTGTTGAAAATCATGTGATATCACGAACATTTATAAATCACTTGTATGAAATACGCCAGTTACATAGGCCTCCATCAGCTTTTCAATAAACAAAAATAAGTTGTGACATAATATTCGTTCTCCAAAAATGAAGAAAAAAAATATCTGGAAATAAAATGAGTAAAAAAAATAAAAATAAAGATACAATGACGTGATTTTTTAAAAGGGTGAACGGAAACAACATAACAACTAGAGAACTATCTTATAAGTCATACTAACTTCCGAAAATCTTTCTCCTTGTCTCCAATCTCATCACGAATTTGTCACAGAGTTCATCTATGTTTACATTATCCAGGATTGTCTGATGTTGCAGATTGCTACTTTTGCGCTTCGCGCTTAACATTTAGCTCGTTGCTTTTTAACGCTGCGTCTTTGCATTTGGCGCACTGCATTTCTATGATGCTGTTGATTGAACAAATTGAATAAATTCGTCAATTCCTGATGAAGCCGTATGAGCGAGAATTCAATTTATTCTTCTCATATACGGTTGTCTCATTTACCTCGTATATATGTATGTATTATGAAAATGAGATTTTAAAAAATGTGTATATTTACGGTCATCTTGCGAGTAATAACCATTAACCACTCTCATCGGGTTCTCATCATAAATTTTTCTCTTAATTTCTTTTTTTAGGTGAATTATTGGGGGGGGGATGATTGTACAGGTCATTCCCCCCCCCCCCCACCTGAAATATTGGGGGGATATATCCCCCCCCCCCCCATCCCCCCGGGATCGACACCCATGGCAGTAGTCATCCAACTCGAACCCGGGTTGGCCAAACTCTGTCTATAGATGGTTCTGCATTATTCTAATGATTAGTATCCCTTTATACTATTAATGATGCAAGTGCCGATACGGGTCAGTGATACGGCACTGCATGTAGCCGCGCTGTTGGAGTCTCTAAAATCTGGCTCGCTTCGCTGGCCAGAGAAACCGAGGCGCTTGCGCGGCTGCATTTTTTTTTTGAAAGCTTTTTTGCCTTTTTTTCAGATTTTCATAATTATACAAAATGATAAATAGGAACACAATTGTTCTTACAGTATAAACATACATGTAGTACATTGTCTCATTCATTATAAATACAAACATATTTTTAAAAATATTTTCCATAAGTATATATCCAAACTAAATAGCACACATTCAATCAAGTGTACAGAATGTGCTACAATTCCTTTAAAAAAGGAAAAGGTGACGGTAATACTTCATATTAATATTGTTGGATACAACATTATAAAAAGGAACAATTTTTACAACATAATTCTTCTATGCAAAATAATTAGTTCAATATAAATTTAGCAATCTGAACAAAGATTTTCTTGCATAAACAAAAAGTATAAGGTGAAGGTGCTGCTTCATAACCCATGATAACAGAATTTGTTATATTTACATAATAATGATATGGTGCATTTTTCATTATAACTATATCAGGGTCTTGTAGCAGTGGAGGTCTGTAACTATACCGTTATTAAAAAAATAAAAATATAAAATATAAAAAACAAGCAAACACGATAGTAGATAAGTGTCCGGATCGATGAGAAAGTGAGGGAGTGAACAGGAATTACATTATATATACAATCAGTTCCCCTGCCTTAAGGGGTAACATTTTCCCATTTTTTATAATGTATTGGCAGTTTGTCCTTTAATTTTTCTTTTTCACGTTCAACTTTTTTTGAGTTCTCTACAGCCTTACATATTTCTTTACTAGTTGGGAACTTTCCATTTTTACGATTACTGTAAATCATATATTTGACCAAAATCAATACATGATTTAACAATTATTTATTATCTTTAATATTTTTTCTGAAACCAAGCAACACATCAATCCATTGCATATTAAGAAACTGAAACATCTTTAAACTGTTTCCCATCTCATTCCATACTGAGAGTATCAACTCTCCCTCTGCAAATTCTCTTAATCTTCCAGGCAGCTGGCAATTTGGTGTATAGATGCTAGTGTCGCTTATTACAGCGCCATCTACGGCAGGAAACTTTTACCCAATGAGAGCTGTCCAACAGTACTGACGTATCTGCACGTAAAATACAAACAAACAAACACAAAATGCATCTGTGGGTGGAATAACTATGTTACATAAAATGCAGAGGAAAAAATTTACGATTCGACATTAAAAGTATTAAGTTTATTATAATATCAAAGCTATGTTATACAGGTAGATGTGTTGTGATCTAGTGGATAAGTCACCCGACTGCAGATCACAAGGTATACGGACATAGAAACTTCTTTTGGCAGGACATTAATCTACATTTTGCCACTCTCCACCCAGGTGTTAAATGGGTACCCGGTAGTATGCGGAAAAAAAAGTAGTTTGCTCAGCATTGTGAGCGTTTGTAAACTAACGCCTGGCTGGAATGCTCCCTAGGGAGTGGAAAATGTGCATACATTGTGTGCGGGCAAGCCTGAATCTGATGACCGGGTAATGATCTGTATAGTGATATCGTTGATGTATTAAGCGCTATACTATAAAAGCGGGATAGTGTTGTTGTTAATGCATTGGGATTCATTGTCTTATCTAAAAATAAAATAGTCAAAGCTATAATATTTATTATGTCCAACAGTCTGGGATTATTCATACCTATTGACCATATTATTCTGTTCTGTTCTACATGACGACGGTAATAGAGGATCCTGCTGAGTATCTGGGGGTATTTACCATTCATAATTTGTATAACTTGCACACCCGATACTGAGCAATTTGCAAAATATTAGGCATGTTGTATTTCATATCTTTTGTCCGGCGTACTAGTCCTACTGGTAGCTACTTATATATTTAAAAAAATTCCTATAGATCGGTGCCTGTTGGTCCCCATGATCCTCTATTTCTTCTGTTAAGAGAGCTGAGTTGATTAGATAGCCACATGTCAGTGACCTTGCTGTGTGGTCTAATCCCTCCTGGTCAAACTAGTGCAGGTAAGCTTTAAGAATGTGCATTTTTGTAGATAATTATGTTGACGTCTGTTGTCGTTTTTAAAATTCATGAACGATCGGGTCATCGTAATCAGATGATTTTTCTTTCATCCCATTTTCTTATTCTTTCTTACGATTGTCGCAAGTTGGGAGGTTGATCATGATCATAATTTACAGGCCAACTCAGAAGGAAATCCCGTTTGGTCTCGTGGTTATAATAGGATTCGAGTTTTACACCCATGCAAGCGACATGGGAGGTCGTCATTTCTGTTATGCGTTTTGCATTTAATGTAAGAAAAGGCGCTCTCGAAATGCTCGACCGACGATTTTGGTCTGATCTGACGATATTTCGAACGGCAACAGACGTGAAGCTTTGTAAAAAATCAGGAACTCTAGCTGAACACGCGTCTAAATTAGGAAAATCAAGTTCATTCAAAATGCATGTACACTCGAAAAAATATTGGGCAAAAAATTGCCCAATTTTTACCCAACATGAGGGCGATTATAATATTGTCCAACCAACTGTTGAGTAAATTAAAGATTTTGCATGATTTACCCAGTGTTGCCGGATAAACAGAAAATACCCAACTTTTAACCAACAAAACTTTACCCAATCAGAAATTCACCCAATTATCATCATAATTTGTAGCATATTAGACACAAGTTGGGCAAATAAGTTGGATAAAATATTATATTATATAAAAGGACATAAGCGGCGGCGGGACTCGAACCGCGGACCTTGTGATCCACAGTCCACAGTCCTGTAAGAATTCAACACTATTGTTCCATATTTCGTCCTTGTTTTCACGAAGTGACGGTAGTGAGGAAAATCGTAACGCAAAGTGAATGCAATTTTTTTTCACTACCGTCACTTCGTGAAAAAAAATTTTTTTTGTTGCCCGACGTGCGTTTGTCCAGTAACATCTGCCCAACTTATTTCGAACATTTAATTAGTTAACCACACATTTATATGGTGGTGGTTATTTTACCTGACTGCTAAGAAAGCATGCAAGCAACCAGACGACCGACGGCTTTAGGTCCTCTCCAAGGGACCTGGTAATGAGGATTAATGCCTTACCAAATTAAGGGCACTAGCGCATCGCCTTGGTTTCGAACCCGGGTCACCAGATTACGAGACCACTGCTCTACATTTAGTAAATTTAGTAAAAAAAGGGGGGGGGGGGGGGGGGGGGGGGGTAAGCGGACACTTTTTTTTTTTTAGGGAGTCCAAAAAAAATCGCAACGACTCAGCCAGCCGAAAAGTCGCTCAGTGGGGGGGGGGGGGGGGGGGGGGGGGGGGGTAAGAGGACATTTTTTTTTTTTTTTTTGGTCTCGAAATTTGAAAATTTGACATTTTGCTCCGTTTTTTGATAATTAAAAAAAAAAAAAAAAAAAAAAAAAAATCCAAAGGGGGGTGGGAGGGGGTTAGGGTTATTTTAGGGGGGTTTACACACGTAACAATACCAAAGGGGGGGGGGGGGTTTAACCCCCCAAACACCCCCCCCCCCCCCCCCCCCCCCCCCCCCCCCCTGCGTACGCGCCTGGATGTTTCTATTATATCTTTTCATTAGCTCATCAATATACAAATTCCACTTCAGCTCGGACTCCTAAAATTTTAGCATTTTGCCTAATTTACAACTCAGTGTGGCTAATAGACCAGTTCACGGTTAGCACATTAGGCCTACTACTGCAAAGACCCGAATATCCACAGATCTTCAAAACATGAAGAGGTCCCACTTTGTAAATTTTGAAATAATCACTCCTACAGCGATTGAGGTGCTATTTGTTTCCCCTTTTCAAAGAATACTTCCATCATGGAGTCCATAAATGAATAATGATTACATAACTTTCATGAGCACGTATCCAGTATTTCGTCTCCGTGCATTTCACAATTTGTTCTGCAAGGACCTTTATCTGCTCATGCTCAGAATGCAACCGTAAACTGGCTTTTCCGGGGTCTCGTGGATTTTTCATGAAACTAACTTGAAGAGTAAAACACTTTGATTTAATTTAATTCAATTCAATTCAATTCAAATTTAAATCTTTGGAAAAACTTTTTTTGGTGAAGTGTTGGTCAACCAATAAGCATCTGGTCAACTTTGATAGTGGTGTGTTCCGCAGTTGATCCCTTATGAACTCAAATGAATGATAATAACCTGTGTTGTGATATATTTCCATGAGAATATTTGTATTATGTTGCTGTTGCTGTTTCTACCATTGTTATTGTTGTGGTCGTTTCTACGTTCGTTGCTTTATTCCAATATTTTTAAAGCAAAACTCGGTATAAAAACTCCAACAAAAAAAATGTACCAGAGCACCAACAATGATACGCACACTTTCAAAGTTGACAAGATGTTAAACAGCGCCATCTGTAGGGCTAGGTCTAAGATGGGCGGGGTCTTTTCTGTGAGTGCGTGCAGTGGTTGCATTATTTCCGGTAATTTGCATCTGAAAACAGAAAAACGAGGCGGAGCATAATGTCCAATGCATGCATTCAGTGCACAGCAGTCGGTTCTTTCGATCTCACGTTGTACCACCATATATTCCGAAGCTCACCATTTTCGGTACATTTGGTTATTAGGTGCCGCGACATTTCGACCTCCTCTACTCATAACAGGTGAGAATCTTTTACTTCTATTCCTTGCTTAATTTTTGCAAATATTCTTTTAGTCTTATAGAGTTGAGCTGGAAAAATAACAGGTATTACTAGGCCGCTTTAAAACACTTAAACTGGTGTTATCTGTAATGGCATTTTCTTCTATCTTTGAGTTTGACATTTAGAATTTTGTTTGACAACTTCGATCATTTTGATTTTCTTGTTCTGCCGTCGTCTCGACCGCGACCCCCAAATTTCAGAAAGGGTCTGCTTAGTCAAAAATTGCTGAATTGAGGGATTATCTACAACTACATGTACAATACCGTTCGACTACTCCCATCCAGCAATTTAAGTTGCGTTGGTTTATGTAATTTTAATTTCGGAAAAGGTCCTACACATCGCCTTCTCCCACTCTGACCTCTGATACGAGCTGGCGCGGCGTCTAGCCACGCCCTGGTACCATTCTTACCAGTGGTTCGTCAAGGCCTTTACCGGACCACTTCCTGGTTTTCACTTGGCCACACAATCACGAGAGTTGTGCGTACATATATCGTGACGGTGTTGACTTTTTCATTGTCTGCTTGTGGTTTATAACGGTTATCTGCTCGCGCGTAGGCATTGATTTTTACATCTTTTTACAGGTTAAGGCTTATCCGTCTCGTACGCTGACTAGACAGGGTCAATGTGCAAAATTCTATTACAGTCGAACCTGTCTACAGCGACCGCCCAAGGAGCCACAAAAATAGGTCCTTGTAGACAGGTGGTCTTTGTAGACGGGTTTCTTTCAATAAGAAACCATTTTCAAGGGAAACAAAAAAATGGTCTTTGTAGACAGGTGGTCACTAAAGCAGGTTTGACTGTATATACTCTGAACTCTCAAGTCTCGTGTACATTACACCTGATGTTTCTGGCTCAGCATGATATTGCTAAGGGCATTGATTAGGCTACTGAAAACAAGTTTTTGATATTTTACCAAAATGTCTATTGTCTTAATTTGATTTAAACATACACTTCATTCTATAGAGATTCAAAACTAGGAGATAGTTAATTATATCGATGTTAAGATAAAGAAACAAATTGTTACCTCATGTTTAAGACTTCACAGATGTTGTGAGATTTTTTATTTGATTCAGAACCATAACAAAAGTCAATAAAATAAAAAAAAGAAAATTGAATTTTACTTGGCCATATATCCCTTGACAATTGAGACTTTACCATATTTATTGATTTCTATTTGGGAGGGGGCTAGTTGAGCACCCCCAAAAAATTCTAACAGAGATTTCCAAGTTGTTAAACTAGTCTATAGCACCAGATGATATTCAATATTTTTGAACAAGCAACAACAAAACCAAAGTTATATGTGAGCACTGAAATATCCCCCCCCCCCCCATTATTGTCTTGCTTGACCATGCTTAAAATTGGCCATTTTGGGGTTTGTAAACCATGTACTGAAGAAGTAATTTAAAAAAAGTTGAACTTGCAGATTTTAAAGTTGGGGGGGGGGGGGGGGTGCAAAGGGAAGAAATGCGCCATCTTTATGCTTTTGTACAGGTGCTAAATTTAGATGATCTCAAATTTTTTACCCACTCTTGCAATTTTATTTCATAATAAATATTGCCACTGTTCTTTATGCAGTCTTCTATGTTGTGAATAAACAGTGCTCTTATATTATAGATAGTTGTGTGCATCAGAGAGCCAAATACTAGTAACCCAACAAGTACCTTCGATAATAAGATATTTGACTACTGGCATTTTTGTCTCGCCTGCGTAGCAAAAAGCGAGACATAGGCGCCGCTTTTCCGGCGACGGCGTCAACATCAAAAACTTAACCTAAGGTTAAGTTTTTGAATTTTTGATATAATTTTTAAAGTACAAGTTCTCGGTCAATGAAACTTGGACTATAGGGTTATCAAGTCTCCCCAATCATGTGAGTAGAATTTCAGGTCACTAAGTTAAGGTCAAAGGTCATTTAAGGTCAACAAACTTAGACTTTGTTGTGGCATCAACATCAAGATTTTCAAAATGCTTCTTCTTTGTTATTTTTCAACCGATTTTGGTTCTGATTGTTTCATAATTATGATAGGGCTAGGAGGGGGATTTAAAATTTCTACACAGAATCGTGAAATTCATTATCTATGCTAATTTATGCAAATTTATTCGAAATAACAAAAAAGGATTCTCCTTCATTTCTCAACCGATTTTGATTTGGTTTGCTTTATATTGTAGAGCTAACTTTGGTACACTAATCTTCACAAAATTTTGAAATTGTTCTCCATTAATTAATTAATTATGGTAATTTATGCAAATTTATTCCAAAAATAACAAAAATTGCTTCTTTTCCCTCATTTCTTGACCGATTTTGATTTGGTTTGCCTTATCTGGTAGAACTAAATTTGGAACACTAAACTTCTACACAGAATTGTGAGACTTTGCTCCATTGATTATTTATGGTACTTTATGCAAATGAAATGAAATTATGTCCCTTCCAGGGCATCAAATTTTATTTTTTGACCAGTTCAAAAGTGTACCACATAAAATTTATGATATATGTTGTGGCGAGATGCGGATGAGCGCTACGTCATTGACGTTCTGGTTTATCATATTGAATTGCGTTATGCAGGCGAGACTGCCGAGAGCGTTTCCGTTGTGTATAGAGTTGCGAAGTTGTATATAGTTATACAAGTATGAATTTTTCGAGAGTTCTTTTCTCAGGCCATTCTATAATGATCATTTACTATTATTTCACAGACATAATCTCACAGCCATGGCCGACAAACCAGACGTCAGCGCAGTCTCAAGCTTCGACAAGACAAAACTTAAGAAAACTGAGACTGAGGAGAAGAATACTCTACCAACGAAAGAAAGTAAGTTACTAGGGAAACCCTATTTGGTCCACATCGATCCCACTCCTGACACCAGTCATTAAAGGAAAGACTTCCTACAAGTCAAATTATTGCTTTGCAGCGGGAATCAATAGCACCATGGTGTTTTAATGGCATCTTTCTTCCAATCAAAATAGTTTAATGAAAATGGTTGGAGCCAGAGACACTCGTGTTCTAGGTACAAAATGACCTAGATTTGCTTTTCGAACATTTTATTGAACATTTTATTAGGTTGTAGGATTCTGGATACAAAATCTTGACTTCTTGATTTTGGACTGGAACCCCTAATACCCCTAATAAATGCTCAATTTCGATGCAATCAATCGTCCGTCATATGCCTACGTGAGGGGGGGGGGGCAGGCTTAACTTGTGTTATGAAGCTATTCATAAACTGAACAAAGATTTGAGGTGATGGTGGACTTGACGAGAAGATTCATTTACCTATAGCTGTACAGGGAAATTTGATAGTCGGACTGCATGGAAAGAGCCCTTTGCAGAAAGCCAACACACCCATAGCTTAACAAAATGAAGTAGCACGATAAGAGGCGTCCAGAAAGCTAAACGCATAATAGTCGGTGACATTGTGTGTCAAAATTGATTGAAAGTTTAGCCAACATTATGCTTCAATCAAGATTGGATATAGAATCTAGCTCAGTATCCTAACAAAGTGGTTCTAAGGTTTCTACCTCTATGTGATCAAATTCAGATTTTCAACAAAAACGCATTTTGCATTCCAGATGCTTCTTTTCGTGCCACTATATTTGGCTCAGCTACCTAATTTAAATATCTTTTGTTAATCTATGCATTACAATTATCAGAATACAATGTTCTGGTTTATAGTGAAAGAGCTATTATACAGGTGCAGAACTTGGGATGTAGATAAACCTTGATGAGAGAATGCAAGCTGTTAATATATCGTCTTGTTCTCTTTTTCTCTTTCTCCTACAGCAATTGAACAGGAGAAGACCGCTTAGCTCTCCATTGTTCTTCTACTCCTCCCCCTTGTACATTGTTCTCCAATTTAGCTAGATTTTTTTAAAGATATTTTTCTGATTTAATATTATTATGAAGACGAAAAAGGGTGGGGTATATCACATGACCATTGGATCATGGCTACAATTCTGAGGAAAGCAACTCAAATTGGCTAGTTTATTCATAGCTAGAGGGGCTTTTGTCTCTTTCGAAGAAATTGCTTGTTGATTGAGTTGTAGAATTGGCAGCGAATGTGGTATTTTGGTAGTACTAATTAATATTACCAACGTTGAAAGAGATCGATGTGTGTGAAAAACAATATCATTCGTACAAAGTCAATCTAAACGGTTTTGTAGCCAGTTGAAAGATAACCAGATGGGATTGTTGAGACAGACCGAGAGGTCTGAAGATGTATGTATTTGTGCATTATTTACTCCCATGTCTAATCAAAGATCTTCACTACACATCATCATCCCTTTTTAACAGTACAAAGAGGTTGGGAATAAATTAGGAGCAGACAAAAGCAAAAGTTTGATTAATTTACAGTTTATACAAGTCCTTGGTTTATGTTGGGCTCTCTATATATGTAAATATTCATTGTTTTGTGCAGGGCACACACCAAGTCAGTACCATATGTTAATGCAGCTTCTTAAGAGGGATTTTAGTGGGCATATTCTGCTAGCAGTGCCTTTGCCTAAATGATTGTTGTAATGATAGTTGTAGATGTCCTGTAAGATCTTGTAAGACCCGCTACGGAGGAAGTTGATCATCGAAGCGGAAGACGAACTCCAGGCTGATGACGACTTCCGAGAATACTGATGGCACCCGCAGTAGCACCAAAGCCTAGTATCTTCCCTGGGGTCGACGGCTCACAACATGCTCTTTATTTCGTCGCCACAAGATAACTGCAATACTCTTCCACAAATGTATAACAATTTACAAAAATAACCAAAAAAAAAGTTGTAAAATTCTACGAAAAAGAGGCATTTATGAATATCATTTCTTAGGCAACGTAGCATTTTGTACCAACGTTTCTTGATAAGATGCACTTTGTAAATGTTGACTCAACTTCACTGTATAGTGATTTATGTGAGATCTTTATGTGTTAAAGGTGTATGGATCAAACGAAGAACATTCACAAGAGTTTTGTAAAATCTTTGATTCCGTGTGATAATCAGGATTAATGTTGCAGCATGTAATGCTAGGAACCATGAGTTTGCTATCAACATCTGTGCATCCATGTGAGGGTTATGCCTACAGATAAAATACAATAACATCAAATGTAAAGCGTGTTTGAAATTCGTTTCAATTGGTCTTTAAAAGTTGCTGTGTGAAAAGTGTGTTGTAGGAGTAGTTTTTGTTGAAAGGGAGGAAAAAAAGGTTGAAATTTAAAACTGTTCTTTTCAAAATTTTCAGACAGAACCAGTAAACTGTCAAAGATCTTATAATGCAAAAACTACTCTTAGAGAATGAAGAGATGGCGAAGTAGAGGTGAATGTGAAATGCGTGTCTAGGCAATGAAGTAAAGATGTGTATATATTGACAAAATGTTTCATGAAAAGAGAAAGATGAGAGATTGATTTGAAAAGTGTACAATTAATAAGGGCTTACTTGTAACTGGGGCTGTAAAGGGTTGAGACACTGAAATATGTTTTTTGAGAGCTTTAGAGAGTAAACGAGATTGAAGAAGATGAAAGGAGACGAGAGGTAAAATGGTAAAAGTGATGAAAAAGAGAAACGATAATTTTAAGGGCTTACTGTATTTGGGGCTGAAAAGAGTTAAAACACTGAAATATGTTTTTTGAGAGCGTAAGCGAGTAAATGAGATTGAAAGAGATGAAAGAAGACATGAAAGGTAAAATGGTAAAAGTGATCTGAAAGAGGAAAACAATTCTTGAGAGCTTTCTTAAAGAGGGGCTGTAAAGAGTGAACGTGTTTTTTGCTTTCTGCAACTATTGGAATACGTGGACATGTATTAATTTCTCTTTATACTGAAAGCTTTGTTTCTTTTCATTCTGATAACTAGTATCCAGAAACAAGAGTTTCTTCTCCCTCTCAATCTATCTCTCTGATCTCTGTTTCTCCCCTGTTCATGTATACTTCCTACCATTAATAATTTTTATTCCATTTCTTAGCTTGCATCCTTTAAAACTTGCATATAAAGTGAAACCTGTTTGTAAAGACCGCTCAAAGGAGACGAGCAAAGTAATCTTTACAGACAGGTGGTCGCTTAAGTAGGTTCCACTGTACATCTAATTTCTAGCTATCTGTTTTGTCTTCCACATCTCTTCATCTGTCAATCATATATTACTCCTTTTTAGGAAATTGACTCCCTTTCTTTCCTTCATATTTTTAAATCTTTCATTCTTTACCATGTTGTTTCTTTTCTTTTACCTCAACCCTTTTCAGACGGCCGTACCTCATTTTCTTCATTTGGCTCAATAACTTTGATTCTGCCCTAAAAAATATCGGATCCATGAGTAGAACAGGTGGAAACTTCTGCACAAACTATCCATTTTTGTTTAATGATTACCGGTATATTGCATTAGATGCCAGAAATGTTGAAAAACAAAATAGGCTTTAAAGTCCTTACATTGGCAATACAAAGAGAGGTCCAAAATCTTTGCCCTTTGATACAAAAACAAAATTGCCACTATTTCAACACACAAAAAAAGTTCCTACCCAGATATATTTTTTACAGAAATGTTAGATCTTATAAGAGCTGTATAAACATTATAGAGTTGCCAATTTGAAGAACAACATGTGATCAATTTAGCCCTAAAACAGAGCACTAGTTTTTTCATTAATATCCTACATACTTTTGCTATTTGACAATCTGTCCTACATCCATTTCAAATAGACATGGCATGCACCATTCAGAAAACACCTTTCCCTTTTCTTTCTTTTCTTTTCTTTTTTCTTTTTTTTTTTTTTTTGGGGGGGGGGGGGGGGGGCTTTTTTTAAGTGTACAGTATCCTTCGTACATTACGCCTACATGTGCACATCTTCGCCTTTCAAATCTGACCCTATTTTCTATCAGCACTATTAAGAGCCCTTTCAGTCATCAACATCATGATCTCTATCAATAATAATCTTGCACCCTTTATGTCATTGATTCTATCTCTTTCATTCATAATTTACATTGTTGTGGATTTGATTATCTCTGGCTCTCTGCCCGTTCATATCTTTCACACTAATTCCCATTCTCTCCATCCAATTACACACAACTTTGTTATCATTCTCTATCACCTGTACCTTCTGCCCTTTCAACCATTCTACCTCTGTCATTCTTGATTCATATCTTAAAGGTAAAGACCAGTTTTGGAAACGCCCCCCTCTCAAAAAATGAAATGGAAGCTCTTATTACCAACCATGTGAAAGAATACGTTTTGACTAAGATGTGATCATACAAATTTTGCCGAGATATCGCCTACTAATTGATATATTTGGTAAATTATTATATCTACTTGGGCCTGATAGATATAATGCATGTGTCACACACGTGTGAGGATAGTCCCATATACATCTTTCTGTGTACACTGCTTGTAGCTTTATCAAGACTGGGCCAAATTTCTTATCATTTTGATGATTTCAGAACCTTGCAGTACACACCAATACCTATATGCTAGATGATTAACCTTTTCTGATTGATTCCACATTTCTTTCACAATGCAATCGCATGACCATAACTGGTCTTTATCTTTAAAGAGAAAGTTAAGTTCTGGTAAGATTGACGTTGCTCTATCCCTTATTGTTGAACGCCAAACAAGGTAGCAACAACTCCCATCTTTTGACGTCTTTTGGTACGATGTGGCCGGGGTTCGAACCCACGACCTCCCGGTTGTGAGGCGGACGCTCTACTGACTGAGCCAACACTCCGGATACACCAATCCTTATATGCTACATGATCAACCTTCCCAATTGCTTGCGGACAGTTTCTTTCCCAATATAATCACATGACCAGAACTAAACTTTATATTTGATTCTCTTCTGATCCCCACATCTCATCTTTCTTCAGTGGATTTTGATTCTCCTTATTTCTTCAACCAGTTTGCTACGGATCTTGCCCGTTTTGTTCTTCCTTCACACACATTCTCAATCTAACAGTTACATGGAATCACACATGACCTCAGACGAATCAATATTTATAAATGTACAATTATTTCTTTTAATAAGCCAACTGCTTTCCAATAGACCAGTTCACATATGCACTCAAATTTCATGCAAACCTCAACATCAACGGTTGTTCATGAAGCCAAAATCTTACATTCCATTAAGCTTGCATTGTTAGTACTGTATTGAAATACATACCGTAATGATGCACAGGGTGGTCCCGAAACAAAACTAAAACATGTCAAATTGAACTTAGAAGGAGTATGAAGTGATGTGTGCGAAGCGCTAAGTCTTTTGTTGTCAGGGTCCAGGCCCCATTGCACAAAAATTACCATTGATGGTAACTTTGCCATCAATGGTAGCTACCATGGAAACCTTGATCTTGATTGACTGTTGAGCCCTGTAACCATGGTAGTTGCCATTGATGGCAAAGTTACCATCAATGGTAAGTTTGATGCAACGGGATTACCTTAATATTTCAGAAATTATCTTGGTCTGAGAATAAATATTCACTTTTTGCTGATTTTCAAACCTGTACAATAGAATTTCACACCTGTAGCGATTTTCAAACCTGTACAATAACAACTCAAACATGTAGCTGTTTTAATAAATGTTTAAACCCCTTGCGGGCCAACTCTCACTGTACTGTAATACATAAAAATGCAGCATTATAATTTTAATGCATATGTAAATTGGTCTATTGCATATTCATATAAGCATGTCTCATGAATACATGCTTAGCATCTTGTAAAAAAAGAGAGCAAAGTTGAAGGCCTTGGTAAAATTGGATCTTGTTCCTCGTTTCATCTTTTGACCAGAGAAAAAAAAAATTATTAAAATATTTGGAAAAACAATGAAATTACTTACAATATATGATAAAATTACGATGGAATTCTCATAACAGCTACAATTTGCCAAAGATTTGTTTGTTATAAGAAAATAATACAATCTTGGTTTGGCATGTTACTCCATAAAAACACAGATTAAAAGGACAGTTAGTGGAAGTTACAAACTGCCTCAAGAAACATTATTGCCTGATTATTGATAAAATCTCATTCCGATAATTAAGGTTTAAAAACAAACTTATTATTAAAGTAAAAAAATGAGATAAAAAGTATACTCTATAAAGCCTGGAGTGACATGTGTTATATATCAATGCAAGGTAACTAGTTTAAACCAATGAGAATCAAGTTTCTTAAAGATTAAAAAGTTTTAAACTATCCATGTGATAGGGCATTGAATTGAGTTGACCCTACTAATGTTATGAATCTATTTCACTCCAAAATATATCAACAATACCACGAGTGATAATGATTGAAATCATTCCCAAATCACTCCCATGTTGTTTATGTAGAAAAGTGTTGAAAATCCTGACAGGTCTGACATCAACGATTAATGAAAATGAGTCTCCATCAATATCGTCTCATTGGGGTAGCTGGGCGAGCAATTTTTGTTTTTAAAGACAAACCTCAATGATAATATCTGTGAGACTATATTACTTGCACTCCTCCAATGTATGTGCATGAAAAAAAACTGTCAAGCGAGTGATTCAGCTTCGCAAAAGTTATATCCGGTATTGAGATAATTCAAGCACAAATGATGCAACAGTAATTTTTGCAATTGGCAAATCATTGTTGCGGCACGAATGGCTGTAATTACGTAAGTTGAAAGTTACTAAAGTTGAAAGTTACTTTAGTTGAAAGTCACAGACTCTCTGGTTTTACAGCCCCATGAACAACATGGCTAGTTTCCTCAAATCATGGTAAGCCTAAGACAGGATGCGGGTTATCGCTTTCCAACGGCTTTGTTTTAATACTTGGACTTGGATCTTGCTTTCTTTGCGGGAGGTTCATCCTGTTTGTCATCTTGTCCTGGTGTTTCTTCTACCGCAGGAACACTGAATCCAGGAACCTACAAGGAAACAAAAACAAAAACAGAAACAAAAGAATAACAAAAAAAGGAGACCATCAATGTTTTCTTTTTCTACAGATCGATACAAGAACTGTTAAAAGGAATATCTTCCACTTTTTTGCATGAAAAAAAAAGGTGATTAAATAAGTCATTTTCTCAGAGCAATCACTGGAAAAGTATACTTCTTTGTCAAGTGACAAGTACTGAACCATTTCATTCACATCTTACAGGTCATAGTGTTTCAATACTGTACAATTGAAACCTTTTGTGGGCATGAAATGTTTGTGAATTTTGTGAGAGGTTCAGATTCACACTCTTGCCCCCAAGTTGCAAAAGTTTTATGCCGCAACAGTTTCTAGTTTCTCAGTAGTCAGAACTTATGTGTTGCCTCAATATGCAAATAAATAATCCTGGCCAGTATTATCAGTGTTTTTCACCAAAAGTGCCTACAAATTATCAACTAGTTCTTCGTTCCCATCTTCCCACTTATCATGTTTTCTTAAGTCACGAATATAAACTGCTTGAATTATTATTTAGTAAAAAATTAGGTGTTGCCTCATCAGAATGGAAAGTGGAAATGATTATTTTGGATTTATAGCTCCAGCAATCTTTATTAATCCTACATAATTAATTCTACCAGATACCACACCTGGGTCAAGGGAGGCAAACATACACAAGTGTCTGGTTAAAGTGATAATCAGGTATTATTGTTAACATATAAATCAAAGTCGCAGCGGCTGATTAGCCCTGTGCCAAATTATATACTACTAAGAATAATTGAATGAAAATAATCATCAATAAACATTAAAATAAATGATTTTTGATCACAATTAAAATTTATGCATGAGAATTCAGACAGTAGAATCAAAGCCTGCATCGCATGGATAAAGTCAAGACTCCACAGAATTTGACTGTGTGCCAGCCAGGAGCAATGGGACGTATACCAGCATGGGAAGTTTGGACCAGGTAGGTTAGAACTGCTTGCTAACAAAGGGCATCTTTCAGAGTCTGGTACATTTCAAATTCAATTTCAAGGTTTCCCAGCATACTTAGGGTAGTCTACAATTACAGACTGTTTAGAGCCTGAGACTGAGACACACTTTCAATTTAACTGTATGACAGTGAGAAATGAATACATCTTGTGCATGAATTTCATGAAATATTCAATTTGAGAACATTAACTACATATTAGTCATTTCTAATTCTAAAGAGACTTCAGATAGTTTAATAGAGTACAGTATTTATTAATTCTATTGACCCAAGCTCGTAGCCAGGATTTCATTTTAGGGGGGGCGGTAGTGAGCACGCGAAGCGTGCGAATCACTTACAGAGCACGTGTAGCGCGCTCCCTAGGGGGGAGGGTGCAAGGAGGGGGAGTTGAAAGCTTGGAGGTTTCATCAAATTATAAGAGAAAGAAGACGATTCGTTGGACCGTTCTCGACTCTATATCCTTATCTAAATTCAGTTTCTGTTGACGTTTCATTAGAGAAAGAAGACGATTCGTTGTACCGTTCTTAATCCTTTTTTTGTATCAACTTTCCCTTCTTCCGCGGAAGCTGTAGCGCGGAAGCTCGGAAGTTTTACTAGATTATTAAAGAAAGAAGAAGATTTGTTGTACCATTTTTGATCGACTCTTAATCCTTGTCTGAATTCAGTTCCCCCCCCCCCTCCCCTCCTGCGGAAGCTTTGACGTTTCATAAATTATTAGAGAAGACGATTTGTTGTACCGTTCTCGACTCTTAATCCTTTTTCTTCCTACGTCCTCTTCCCGTCTTCTTTTTTTCTCTCTTCTTTTTTTTTTTTTTTTGGCCGGCATTTTTTTTTTTTTTGGGGGGGGGGCGACTGCCCCCACCGCCCCCCCCCCCCCTGGCTACGCGCCTGTATTGACCCCCTCTCGGGGTATAAGAGTCCAAACAAAAAAGGAGACATATTTACAAGTATTAATACAATGCATCCTAAGTTTGTACAAAGTAGATATCAAACTCTGTATTAAAACTCATTTTTACAAGACTAGCCGTTCAGGCTTTGAAAAAATACTATTCCAACACTAGGAGTATATCATAGGGTTCTATTAGTATTATGCTTGTATTCTGTAAAAGTGGTATTCTCTAATATTTTCTGTTGGTGTCTGAGAAAATCCACAAGGTAACAGATAGAGATAAAGTCTGTTTTTCAAGACAAATCAGTTGCCAGGGTCACTCACTGACCTCAAGAGTGTTGTTTTGCGACCCCTGAGGTCACATGCATACATGCTTTTTATCAGGGAATGTTGTGTCTAGCTGCTCTGCATACAAAGAAACTACCTCACCAGAATGGAATGCAACCTACCAATGGCATACTCATTTCAATTTCTTTTACACAGTTATCATATAGTGCAACATATAAAAGTAGTACTTTTACAATATTATCCAAAGAAAACAAGTTTGATACCATCCTATTTCAAGCAACCTCCCTGTAGGATTCATCTTCACAGATGTTGGCAACCACAAGAGCGAACAAATGAACGAACGATAAGGTACATAAGCTTCAACGTACAAAAATGTGCTTTATACCGAAAAAAAAATCCAGTATGCTTTGCTATCAAGGGCTTATCATGAAATTTGGTTTAATGGGGCTAATAAAGAAAAAAAATAGTAATATCAAATATTGAAAAGTCCCATATTTTGTTGCACATCCAAATGTCGACTACTAGTACTAGGACCAATTCTTCACAATGGCCTACAACATTTCAAAACAGAACAAAATTAAACAGGAAATAAATACAGTTAACTCTGCAAAAAATATTTCAACTTATGCAAAACTCGACTTGGGAAGCGTAAATAACACATGTTTTGCGTAGTTTGGTCAAAAAATTGATATGATTTAGGGAGAATTCGACTTGTGCGACCTATGAGAGTAATGCAAGGGAGGGAGGGGGAAGGAGGTGTTAGAGAGCAAACAACATAGTGAGAATGCAGAAAAAAGGTGATATCTAATTTACGATGAACATTGCAATTTTCATTTCCTCCCAGAAAAAATGCCAATATCATCTTCCTGAAAATGTCAATATTGCTGATTTAAATCAACGTTCTTACGGCTGATTTGTTCGGTCAAGGATGTTTGCCTGTAGCTCACACTTCTTGATGTCTTGACTTATTAGTAAATGAGTAATGATTATCCCCACCACTCCACTCTAATCTGTCACTTTGTCAGTGTGTATATATATATATATATATAGGATGGGCTGACATTTAACAATTGAGAGCCACATGCAAGATGCCACAAGATCTGAAGCTGTTCATCCATTATATGCTGATGTATGCTTGAGAATATCAATACCCTGGAGTCTATGGAGTCTATGGAAAATGGTTTACACCTCCATCAAATCATATCCAAGACAATATTAAGCAAACTAGTGTGTTACCCCCCCCCCCCCTCCCCCTCTCTGGCCCTCAACAAACAATGTTACACATAACTGTCATAGGTATTTAATTGGTAACAATGTTTGCCATATTGTGCCATCATTAACATAAGTGTAATATACAGTATGTGTACCGTAATTAACGGTGTATTAACCGCACCTTTTTGCCGTAAAGTTTCGATTTATGCCCCCCAACTGGCGCTATGCCTGGCAATGTCTCCCAGCTCAGTAATCGGTGTGTTGACTCGCCACTCGGAAACTAGAACAACACTCAAATTTGTCAGTCATCTTGGTTTCAAAGTAATCTTTCTGATAGATTTCAATATGTAGTTTATCATAATAATTCCTCTAATTTTTCTTCTATTACACGGCATACCACAAGGTTCTATCCTAGGTCCTCTACTGTTTTTTAAGTCGGGAAATAAAAAGTCCGGTGCGGTTAATACACGAGGGCAGTTTATACACCGTTAATTACGGTATATCATTTGGTTGGAGCCAGAAGGGCGTTACATCCCATAATTCAACACAGAGCCAATGCCTTTTGGGCTCTGAAAAGACAATATATGCATATTGATTACAAAAAAAATAAACAATTGTAAAGAGTAACACACACAAAAGATGATTCTACAGTAATTGACTGACATTTTACCATAATGATGGCTCGTATTTGATGACAGACACTTTACTAATACTCCTACCATGTCCATGCTACCAAACTAACAATATATGAGATTTTTAAGGCACTGTACTTGAAATCAAATGCTCAAGGCGCACTTGTGAAACAAAAAAAAAAAAAAAAAAAAAAAAACAAGACTATAAACAAATAGTCGGCTCCATTATGAACCTTCACGCACAATTACTTTCCCAAGCAGACTGATAAATCATTGACATTTCATATGCTCGTCCCTAGAGTTACGTTTCTCATTAAAAAAATGAAGTGATGCTTGTAAATGTACCACCGCATTTTGCTTCTATAGTCCGACATAATCGAAACCATGGGTTGCATTTCATTTTATGTATTGCAAAATGTAGCTGGAAGCATTTAACTATATTACTTATTGTAAATGCTAATTTCAGTGTATGATAAAAATAATCAACTTGTTGATTGGAAATTAACATCACAATTAACATGGGAACTGTATGTTGTGCTTAATAATAATAATAATAATATTCTGATTTTGTGCAGTGCATTATACATTACAATAAAAGATAGAAAAACAGAGAAAAGAATATAAATATAAAATTTGGTACGCCTAAAACTCCAAATTGATACATAAGGGACTAATAACTGCAGCAATAAAACAGTTCTTCGACACAATCTGCCCATAAGCAGATAAAGGTCATTTGTACCAAAATTGTATTAAAATCCTGCTGAGACAAATACTGGATAGGTGCTTATGAAAGTTACGTAATCATCATTAATTTATGCACCGATGGTTCATTCTATGATAAGAAACTATGAAAGTATTCTTTTCATAAGGGCAAAGAAAAGCAATTCATGAAACTCCTCTATTACTGTGGCAGTGATTAGTCTCCAATGAACAAAGTGGGACATCTCCATGTGTAAACGATCTGGCCAGTTTTCGTACATTATGGTGTT